ATATATATATATATATATATATATATATATATGTATATATATATATATATGTATATATATATATATAAATATGTATAAATATATATATACATATATATATATATATATATATATATATATATATATATATATGTATGTATGTATGTATATATATATATATATATATATATAAATATATATATATATATATATATATATAAATATGTATAAATATATATATACATATATATATATATATATATATATATATATATATATATATATATATATATATATATATATATATATGTATGTATATATATATATATATATATATATATATATATATAAATATGTATAAATATATATATATATATATATACATATATATATATATATATATATATAAATATATATATATATATATGTATATATATATATATATATATATGTATATATATATATATAAATATGTATAAATATATATATATATATGTATATATATATATATATATATATATATATATATATATATATATATATATATATATATATATATATATATATATATATATATATATATATACATATATATAGGCTGTTTTGTATTATAGTAATAAAACAAAACTCATAATCCTGTGCTCATATATTATATTATAATATATACATTACAATATAATATATGTCCCAAATATCTTTAGACTAAAAATTGACTAGTCGAAAGTCAAAATTAGTCAAAATTAGTCAACTAAGAAAAAACTAATCAACAATTTAATCGACTATAGACTTGCTACTAATTGACTAAAAGTTGATTTAGTTGAAGGAAAATTTTAAAATCCTTTTAACTTGTTTTTCAATTTAACTTTTCAATCTTTTTTTTTTGCTTGTTCATTTAAAAACAAAAGCATGTACTATTATAATAGAGATGTCACGGATAGTGGTTTAGCTAAATACCGAATATTTGGTTTGACACTTGGCTAAAGCACTAAATACTCAGCTACCGAATATTCAGTGACACTTTTCTATTTTGAGGGTTTAAATCTGTTTCATTGAGCTGTGTATCGTGGGTTAAGTCAACAACTGGCAGTTTTGACTTAATGGCGCTGTATTGTAAAGTTTACAACACTTTACAAACAGGCAAAATACAAGTCAAATAAAGCATCTTTAAAGATGTTGAAATATATTTTTAAATCAGAGAAAAGATTTTTTCTGATTAAAAAATTACATTTAACGTTAACTCATAAAATAGGTGTTTTATTTAGGCTAAAAGCTTTTAAATTAAAAAAAAAAAGCTATAAATATTTTCTTAAATAAACAGTTAACACTATGGTGTATTTAAATGTCAAAATAAAATGCAATTTAATAAGATTATAAAACTTTCCTATTGGAAAAAAAACTTGAATGATTGATTTCTCTAAACAAGAATTTTTGAGTCAAAGATTTTTTTCAGAATACCCACAATACATTGTGGGTAAAAACTACGTTTTTGTTAACTTATGACTTGGCTGTATAACAGCACACATTATTTGTTGACTGTTACATCAATTTGATTTATTTAACTATAGTTATGTATAAACATATCACTCTCTTCAAACCACTAAAACCACTCAAAAAGATTACAAAAATAACCAGGTCAGGTATTTGTATTTCAAAGGTAATTTCAGAAGTTGATTTAGATAGATCTTGAACTTAAAACATTGTTTAACTTTAATAATGTCAATTATAAGGTTACCATAAAGCAATGCCATAAATCCTTCTCAGTGAAAGGCTGCTTGACAACTAATGAACCATCAAGGTGACTAGTAGCACCGGCAATGATTCAGCACTACTTCGTAAGAAAAAAAAAATGTAATTAAAAACAATCAAACTAATCTCTACCAAAATATGCACACTAGGGTTATGATTTTTTTAACTTTTGTCATGCATTTTAGATTTTTCAAATACATCAAATAAATATAACAAAACTGTTGTTGACAAATATTCAAGGGTATGGACAAAAAATTTAGTTTCATTTGAAAAATATATTACATCAAGAATTGGTCTACCTTTTATTTGAAAAACCATTAGATTCATTTAATAGAATGCTAAAACAACTACCTGGCATCAATTGAAAAAAGCAGAAAAGAAAGAGTAAAGTTAGTTGCTGTCGAAATGTGTAAACTATAGAACAAACTCCACTTTCTAAGTATTTCTAAAAAATCAGTTGGAAGGAAAATTGGAAAGGTTATAGAAAACATAACAAGTATTTTAAAAAGCCTGGCAAAAAGGAAAAATGCTCAGTTTTTGGAGATCTTTTTGATATCACCAATATTAACTGCATGTGGCTTAGTCTGGAAGATAAAAAATTTCACAACATACAATTATTAAGTGTAGGAGAAGTTGGTCAAAGTACTAACATACAAGTTTTATTACATCCTTTAAAAGTCAGAGTTTGTAATGCAAAAGATACAACTTCAACAAGCAAAGTAAATAATTTTCCGGTTAGCAGTTCAACTGCATCAGAAGAAAGTGGTTTAGATTTAAATTCACAAGACAATTACAAACCAGTGGAAATTAAAAAGATCCAGAAAGAGAGTTTACAATAGAACCAAGTTAGCATCTAACCTTGTGATAACTGAATCTTTAATTACAAATAAATCAGCTAGATTCTGTAAAAGGTTATATGAAAAAGGTATTGAAATAGAAACTCCAAGTCAGACAGGAATAAGGAGATCAATTATAAGGCAAGTGAAAAGAAAGAAGAAAATTATTACTAAAATAGTACAAGAAGAACATTTCTACATTTTAATGGAAAGAAAATAAACAAGACTGAATACCAAGTTGTGATGCTTCAAGATGAGAATAATAAAATCAATTTTGGAATTGTCAAATGTGAAAGTGGAAAATTCAATCATATTTTGAAGCTTTAAAAAAATTATTAAATGATTTTGATGCATGGAAATATATTACAATGATTATATGTTACACAACAGCAGTAAGCACAGGAAAATTAAATGTATATTTGTAAAAATACAAAATGAAATGGAAAACAGAGGCTTTACTAAACCACAATGTTTAGGATGTCAGTATCATATACTGGATGATCTTATTTTAAAACATGTTTTGGATCATTTATTAAATTATAAATCAATAATTCCTTATTTTGATTATAAATTTGTAAAGGATTTACCCAAAAATTATGAAAATCTTATAAAAATTATACATATGAAGCTGAGCCTAATTCTTACATAAACCTAGGATGGCGAGATGATTTCAAATTCCTTTATGAGTTATGTGAAGCTTTTTATTACTTCAAGAATCAAAAAAGATTACCAAAAAAAAAGTGTCATAAGCTTCCTCCATTGCACAAAGCAAGATGGAACTCTAGTTTATTATATGTTCTTATTACCTATTTTTGTATACCAATATGGAGGTGTGATCTTGAAAGTGCAGCAACCTTTATTGCAAATCCATATAAAAAACTTTGGTTCAGCAAATAATTATTTGATGATAAATTGTATGATCATATGCTAAAAGTATTGACTGAACTAAAGTCTACAGCTGCTTTAAAGTACTTTATGAAACGAAAAATTTCCTAGCGTGATGCATTAACTTTTTTTCATCTTGCTTTATATTTAAGTATTTTTCAGCTATAGTTATAGCTTTGTTCAGTAAATTTAATTTTTAATTTTTCAGCAAAGGCTATAGAAAAAGGTAAAGAAAAATACTTAACTATAAAACAAGAAGAAAAAAAGTTAATACCACACGCCAAGAAATCATTAATATTTAAAAATGGTGAAGCCTACATTAAAAACCATGGCGGTTTATTTGATGTTACAATGAGAGCCTTTGATGGCGCAGAAGCTTGTGAGTTGGAATCTTGTTTCAATTATCACAGTCTTACAACAAAATCGAAAACATAATCTGGTACAACCTGAAACATAATCTGGTACAACCCACCTTTCAGTACAAATGTTGCAACAAAAATAGGCAGTTGTTCTTTGAACATGATAGATCTGCACTTTCTGGTTAGTCACAAACTTAGCAAGATATTTAATCAAAATACTATTAAAATAAGCTACTCATGTATGCCAAACATCAAGATCATCATTAATTTGCACAATCACAGGATATTATATAACCAAGGTTAAACTGAGGGAAAAACATGCAACTGCGTCAATAAATCCATCTGCCACATGAACAATCAGTGCTTGATGAAGAAAACAGTTTATCAAGCCACCATGTCATCAAATAAACCTGACTACAAAGAAAAAGTATATTTTGGCTTTTGTGAAAACTCCATTTAAATCTTGGTATGCGAATTACCTAAAATCTTTTAAAATTAATAAATATAAAAATGATACCGAGTTGTCTAAAGAAATTTGGGACATAAAAGAAAAAATATTTACACCCTCAATTAAGTGAAAAATTGTGAAACGCTATAATCCTTATAACTCCTCATCAAAAATTCGCAATCTTTGCTTATACGAAAAATTTCTTATTTTAATATATAAAGGTGAAAACTTGTTAAATAAATGAAATAAGTTGATTTCAAAATGCAGCCACAAGAATAAATTACTCTTACATTTTATTGACACCGGTGATTAGATAATATTTTGTTTTTCTTTGGTTGCCATCAAGTATGTCTTTTAGTAAAGATCCCACTACACAGTATTTTGTAATTTTTAGCAAGTTTTTTTGTTTTTGATTTTGTATACAACGGCTGATGATTGCCGTATAGGAATGAAACTTAAAGTACCATAGAAAAAGTTGTTTTTTCTTTGTTAATATATATGTTTATATACATATATCAACCCTCATAATTAGGGTCGGCATTTTGCAATGCCAACCTTAAAGTGTTTGAGGTCGGCAATTTCTGCTGACCTCTTTTCTCTGTTTTATGGTAACCCCTTTGTGTCAAATTTTTTGCCAATCTTATTTTAAGTCTCTATTTATATGGCATCTAACTCTTGCTTTATGCTACATATTAATCTTATTTGCAAATTGACTAATTATTTGTCCATCCAAGCACAAATAGATTCGATTGGATTCAAACCTGGTGATCGTGCTGGCTAGGACAATAAATCTATTTTGTTTTCTTTCATCCATGTATTTACTGTACAAGTTATGAGGGCAGGCGCCAGTAAAGAGTAAAACCAATTTTAGAAGTAAAACAATATCTTTCAAAATGATTGAAAGTACATTACAATGTACTTTTTCAAACTACTTTATTACATAATTCTTTGAATTAAAATGAAATGAGTTTGAATTTTCAGCACCTAAACTATTTTCTGACAAACAGAACAACCTGCTTATTGAAACTGTCAACAAATATCTTTTTATTAGATAGATATACAATCAGTGACATACTTAGATGTTTTTTAGGAACACCATGTAAAAAAAACACACAAAAAATCCTCATAATGTCTGCAGTAAACTATAGCAGTATCTGGTGACCATAACATAAGCATAGTTTTATGCTAACTTGTCGGCAAGGAAGTATTTCAAATATAGATTTATTCTTTAATATCAATGAGCAAAAAATTTATGCAAAAATTATATCAATTAACAAGTACTAGAGTTTGGACCAGTATACCAGTGTCAAAATCAGCCTGGATTCATCACTGACAATGGAAGGTCAGCATACCTTTTATTGTATATCAGACCACTAATTTGTGTCATAATATTAAGGATAGAATATGCAAAGTTCAATAATTCAGTAACACCTATATCTATTTCAGTGTTGCCATCTGATTTGCTTTTAGAACAATCCCCTCTTAACTATCATTTCTAACTGCGTGATGGCATTTATCCAAATTTACAATTAATGAAAGGTATTTTTAGCATAAAATATTTTATGTAAAATAGGCTAATATTTTTTGACCCACAAAATAAATTATAACAAAAGAAAAGCCAACTTAGCTGTTCTGTTAGACATATTACAACTTGTTTGAAGCTTTTTTTGTGTTACACTGTAATGTTTCTTATTTTTATTTGCTTCAACAAAAAACATAACCTTGTTTTTAATTTTTTTAAATTCAATTTTTCTTAGTTAATATGTCTTTTAAATGTTTCTTCTCCAAATGTGTTTATCATAACTATACTGAACTAAACTATTAAACTTTCTGTTCTTAAACAACATTAAAATAACATTAAAATAGCTGTTATGTTAACAGCTAAATGAACAGTTTTACCTAATAAAATTAATTATAATTTAGATTTAAAAACAAAAAAGTAAAAAAGTAAAAAAGTGTTAGAATTGTTAGTTTTATTAACTTTTGAATGAATTAATAACAATTAATAACTTATCTTTATTTTTTTATTATTATTATTTAAACAATAAAAAAATTATAAATTTGTATTGGAAAAATATATATTTTTTACATTTAATTATTTTTGCATGTCAACACTTTTAGAGATTCATAACATTTAATGTGCTACTAGTGATAAACAGTACTATTTGTTGTTCTACCATTAGTACTGTTTACATATATTTTTTTAAAATAAAATGAAAACTGCATTAATGTCAACTTTATTGAAAACCTCACAATACTTTATTGAAAACCTCACGATACTTTATTGAAAACCTCACGATACTTTATTGAAAACCTCATGATACTTTGATGAAAACCTCGCGATACTTTATTGAAAACCTCATGATACTTTATTGAAAACCTCACGATACTTTATTGAAAACCTCACAATACTTTATTGAAAACCTCACAATACTTTATTAAAAACCTCACAATACTTTATTGAAAACCTCACGATACTTTATTAAAAACCTCATGATACTTTGATGAAAACCTCACGATACTTTATTGAAAACCTCACGATATTTTAAAATAATAGTGACTGTATGCTGTCAGTATTATTTTAAAATATTTATTATTTTAAACTATTTCTAATATTATTGACATAAATTACCTATGAGCATCAAGAATCCCGGGAACACAGAAAGATGATAAATCTGATTGTATGTGACCCACATTGTTTATTGAATTCTCTGTTGCTTTTCTATGAAATAGTGCTAGTTCTTCAATATACTGTTTGCAGATTTGTGTTTCATTTTTTAAATAACTATTTGTACAAGAGAGCATGTAAATCTGAGTCAACAATTGAACATGCTTAAAAAAAACAGTAATAAACTATAAATACCATTATTTGTAGTTATATATTAATGAGTTTAAAAATATTAATTAATAGTCAAATAACTCTTATAATTAACAACAACATATAATATATATAAAAATAACCTGTTGCATTTGAGCAATTATATGTTGACGCTGTTCAAATGTAATGTATAAGTCTTCAGCTACTTCTGTTATGGGAATAGCATCAATTTTCCTAGAATAATTATTTTTTTTAATAAAATTTCTAAAAATTTTTTATATATAAACACTTAAAGGATCTGAATAAAATCTACAAAAGCCCACTTACGCTAAATTGTTTGTATAGAAAGTTTCTTCAGAGTTTATACTTTCTGCCATATTTTGATGAGAATATCCTAGTAACAATTCATTAAAAAGCTCTTGCAATTCTTTTTGAGTAACACGTGTTGCTTTATCATTGCGCAGCTCTTCCTCCATCTAACATTTTTTTAGTAATTTAAAACTTAGCAATTTAAAACCTCAGAAAAGATACTATGCCATTTAAAATACTACAGTATGTTTTATGAGTATTTAAAAACAAATAAAAAAACATAAAGTACTGTGCCGACCTAAAATGATGGTGTGTTTTGTTACAGAACATACCATTATGTTGACCTAAATTTACAGTAATAGATAGATTGATTATTGCAGATTTAGGTTGACAAGAGGGTATGCTCTACAGTGAAAAAGGCAATAATAGTCTATTTTAATTTTTACTTTTTTTTTACTTTTTACAAATTAGTATTGATATAAATACATGAGTTTATTTTAAATTTTTTTTTTTATAATAAAGCATCTTTAAATTATTTTCAGAAATTAAATGCTCGGTTCAATAAATTAAATGCTCAGTTTCGGAGATTTCCAATATCATGATAAAAAAAGATTGTTGTAAAATATTATTCTCAACATAAATTTAATTGCATAAACTGAACTATTTTACTCTAGAAATGGTGACATCATCAATTTATCATTGATTAGATATATTTTACTTTCCTTAAAATTGTAAAAAAATCTAATGAATTTTAAGTAAACTTTCAAGTAAAATAAATTAAAATAAAATTGTTTCTTTTTTTAGACATTCTTTAAAAAGCTGAACATTTTTTATTTATGCAATCAAACATATTAAATTTTATGCTACTTCAAGTTACTTATGCGATTTTAAATGCTTTAAAAGTTTTAAATGCTTAGCTAAATCAAATTTCAATTTTGAAATTGCATAACAGCTAAAAATGTGAAAATTAAAAGTTAAATGCTATTCTTCAGTTAAACATTGTTCTTCTGAATATGAACATTGTTAGTTCCTTTATCTGAATATGAACATTGTTAGTTCTTCTGAATATGAGTATGAAAAATGCCATGAAATCTGGAGACGTGCAAACTCTTTTACACTCCTTAAAGAAGAAAAAAATGCATGCAATGGTCACACATTGGATTACTTAATTTATTAATGACCTTATATGGGTTTGACTTTTTTTTTTTTGAAACACACAATAAACTGATTTTCTATAATTTATTAGCTCATCATTCTTTGTTGCAGATAAATAAAATAAAATATTAATACGTTAAAAAACAAAACTATTAAAAATAAAGCTATATCAAAAAACAATTTTTATAAAAATAAAACCTCATTTTCTTCATCAACATTTGCAGCCATATAGTTAAAATCTTCATCTTGTTCATCATTTGTGTCATTTAATGCTTTTATAGGTTTCATAAAATCAGCTAACCAATTTTTCCAAATAATTTCATCTGGATCATCGAGGTCTTTGACAGAAAAATCTAAAGCATCAGAGTCAGGAGGCTGAAACATCGCTTCGATTTCTTGAACTTCAATATCTTGCATAGGATATTTAGAGCGAGTCCTAAGGGCAATCTGTTCTTCACAACTAGAAGAACATACTCTGGTATCAGTAGGAACTGCAGGAACTTTAAAAACAGATTCTTTATCATTATCAATGACATTATTTATAACTTCAGAACTATCAGTGATATTACCAGCATCTGATACTCCGGTATCTGAAAGTTCTTCATTTAAGTTATGGATTGGAGTAGATGCTTTTTGAGATGGAGAGCTTGTCTCAAATGTAGCATCACTGTACAGAGATTCTTCTTCGCTAACTTGAGATAAGTCATCATCATCTTGGGGTTTATATTCTTCATCTGATGAAGATGTTTCTGGAAAATTCAAGTCCAAAAACTAAATTTTATTAAAAAATGCATTAAATAAAAAATGCAATAAATGTAAGGAAATAATAAATGTAATATTAAATATTAAATGTAATATTAAATATTAAATGTAATGCATATTTATGTAATCTGACATGAATAATTATGAAAAACATTACACATTTAAACTTATTTAAAATAACAATTTCTCGAGATGTTAGCAAAAATTATTTGATGAATTTATTTTGTCAACTTTTTTTGGTCTCTAAACATGTTTATTATTTATCAAATTTATAATTTTTCTTAAACATTTACTTAACATGGATATTTTTTTTAAAAAATGCGCTAAAATTAAACATATCAAGAGGTTAATCACTGCTGACGCTTTCTTTTTTAAAGATTTTTATTAAATTTTTAAAAATTTTGCTTTTTTATAATAAAGTCAATTTTCTATTAGTCATCTACAATTGGTAGATTTTTTAAATTATACTTACTTGTTTTAAATAATCACTATTTTCATTCATTTGACATTTAACTTTTTTTTTTTTTTCAAATACGATAATATATTTAATTTACTTAGCTGGTTTTAGTTATCTAATAAATACATTTTTATACGTATAAATTTTAATTATTATTATTTAATATTACTTTAAACTCATTATTTATATACGCGCATACAAATAAATAGCCACAAAAAAACTATCACTTGTACAGAAAAATGTTTAAATTTTTTTATTTTTGATCATTGGCATAGTGGATGTTTGAGATTACATATTTTGGGGCTTACATGGGTTCAAGTCTCTTTAAGAGATTTTTGGATTTTGATATTTGAAAGATTTTTGGATTTTGATATGTTTTAACTATTGTTGTTTAATTGTAACTATATTTATTATTTTTTAAAGTTTCACAGAATGAAAATAATCAATGTGTACATAAATTGACTGATATGTAGTTACATACAACATAGTTACAACTCCATCAAATAGGTATGAGGGAAGTGGAATGTACATATATATAACCTCAGAATTAGGGTCGGCATTCACCAATGCCTTCCTAATATATATATATATATATATATATATATATATATATATATATATATATATATATATATATATATATATATATATATATATATATATATATATATATATATATATATATATATATATATATATATATATATATATATATATATATATATATCAGGGTATAAACTAGCCCTGTGGCGCCCTTTCAAAAACGTTTTCCCCAAATGCTCATAAATTTAAAATTCCCAATTGAAAGATGAAAAAATCCCATTCTACAAATAAAGTTTCCAAATTAAAGTTTAATAATAATTCTAAAAATAATTTAAAACTAATTATTATTCAAAACTAATAGAAAAATAACATTAAAAAAATCTAATTCATTAATTGCGTAAAGCATGAAATCAAATTGCAATTATTGGTATAAAATTGCAATAGCATAACTGCGAAAATTGGTTTCTTGGAAAAAACATCGTGAGAATTGGGATTTGGAGCGATTTTTGGGATTTTTTAGGCAACTTGCAATAAAGTTTAAAAATAGTTTTTTGCAAGGCATTCCAACAACAGCAAATATTATATAAAATAGTTAGCAAGAAATAAAGTACTAATCTAATAGACCCAAAATAATAACAAACTTGTTTGGTTTAACACCCGCAAATGCTATTTCTTTAAAAGTTTTGCCCTAAAAAGTTAAATAACTTATTAAGTCTTACCGTAAACTCAACTTTAAGTAGTACATGTATTTCGTCAACAAAAACATCAAGAAGGTTATGTCAGATACCTTTTGATCAATGAAGGTTATTAAGGAAAGTCTTTTAGTTATTGTTTTTCTTTTTTTTTTGTTTGGTATTTTATATCAACTGAATTTGCTAAAATTTTCTACTTTTTTACTGGTATTCTTCGATGCCATGCATGCAATCGCTTGCTAATAATAATACTCTATAATTAAACTTTTTTTAATTTGTTGTTTTTGCTGAGACTTTGTGATTATAACTTTATTTCGCTATGCGATTTATGTATAAAATAAATTATTATTAATTATAAAATTGAACTCGCAATAAATATGAAATATGAAATTTATGAGCTCGTGTTTACTATTTTTAAAACCTTATCTATTTTCAAAAAATTTCTTTTGATGACACAATTTATTACATGATGATGTAAGGGTTTGTCCGTAAAGTACGTCAAGCAGAATTTAAATAATAATTAGAAGTAGAAGATCATTGGCTTATTGGAGATCGCTATTTTACTATATTACATTGAAAAAGAAATATATATTAAAAATATATAAAATAATACTCTTGAAATGAAAGGATGCATATATATAAAGATTAAAAATAAATCAAATTAATTATTCTCAATAATAATTAATATACACTGATTATTTTATAATAAAAAAAGATATCATTCCTAATATATGTTCGTAAATCGGTTCTTAGTTTGCCGTGTCGTCGCGAAACAACAGCTAATTTTGTGTTGAATTTATATTCATCTTTAATGATACAGATGGTATTTTATTTTATTTTTGGCGCTGATCAATCAATGTATACAGCGCTGAAGTAGAGTGGAAAAAAAAAGAACACCAAAAAAAGGACCCTATGCTTTCCCAGAACACATTTTAATCTCAGGGGAGGGGGGTGATTGAGGAATACTTCAATTTGACAAATTCCCAATTTTGTTAAAACGCTGTATCAAATTTATTTCTGGTTAACACCCTGTATATATATATTTATATATATATATATATATATATATATATATATATATATATATATATATATATATATATATATATATATATATATATATATATATACATATATATATACATATATATAATTTTAATTCTTTATTTAATTGTTGGATAAAAAAACACACACACATATATATATATATATATATATATATATATATATATATATATATATATATATATATATATATATATATATATATATATATATGTATATATATATATACATATATATATATATATATACATATATATATATATATATATATATATATATATATATATATATATATATATATATATATGTATACATACATATATATATATATATATATATATATATATATATATATATATATATATATATATACATCAGGGCTCGAATTAAGCGTATCGCGATTGCTTTTTACACCTTTGCGATTAGTTTTTTTTTAAAACATATTTTCGCCATTGGTTTACTTTTTTAGTTGTTTATTTACTATTTTTCTAATTTAGCTTTTTTTTTTTTGGCAACTCTTAAAAGTAATGTTTTCATAGTAAAGTTCGTCACGCAAAGTTTGTCTTTTGAATAGAAGTATGATCATTTGCTTTTGAATAGAAGGCATGATCATTAGTTTTGGAATATAAGCATGATCAATTGCTTTTTCTCGCTGAGATTTTTATTCAACGTAAAGCACTTTAATTTAAACTACTTCAAATCTCTGCGTAGAAGCAAATTAAAAAGACAAAAGTTAAAAATAATTATTTCTTCATTCTATTTTTTTAACAAAACAGCATTATTATCTTTTTTTAAAAGAAACGTTGCTCCAAATTAACTTAATAATAATGATTTAAATTATTATTTTATAAACAATTTTATATAATTTTTTTTAGTACTTTAAGTATAATAAAATATCAGGCCTTGTTACGAGATTTCGCTGCGTAACGGAAAAGCGAAACGTGAATAAATGTAACTTTACTCAATAAAGATATTTGCATTGTTAAAAGTTAAATTACATCAGTTGCGTTTTTACTTCATTGTAATTAAATTTAAAATGATATCAAAAACTATTGTTAGTCTTTGAAAAAAAATAGCTTTAAATTTAACAATATTGTTGTAAAATAAATGTTGATTAAAAAAAGTCTTCTTGTATTAAAATCTTATACTTATTTAAACTTAATTTTTTTGCTTTCAAACATTCGTTTTATGGTTGTTTTTTTTTAAATATTTTTTTTTAAAATTATTTAAATTTAGCACTTGTTTATGGTTGATTTTCTTGAAGGGATTTAAATGTACTTACTAGATTGGGTTTTCCCCTTTTTAAAAAAACGTTTGCACTAACTGGTTTTGATAAAATAAATATTGTAAAGAAATTTACTGCTTTGTTTTATTTTTATTTGCATTAAAATATATTTTTTTATGTACAGTGAATCCTAATGTATTTTCACTATTTTTTTACTCAATCCAAAAAAAAAAAAAAAAAGTGTTTTCAGTTTTAAGATGTTATAAGCAGAATTTGTTTTTAACAAATATCATTATAATTTTGAAATTTATGAATCTTATATTTATAGCTCTAGTACTAGTTTTGTTTTTAAAAATAAATAAATATAAGTTGGGCTTTTAACAGTTTGTTTACTGATTGCGTTATTTTTAATAGGTTTGAATTTTGGTTTGTTTTATTAAAAAATTATTTGGCAAACGGCCGAGGGAAAACCCAAACATAACATTTATAACTCGAGTTTAATAGAACTTTTTTGTATTGACGTTATTTATTAACTTGTAGTTATAAAATGAATAATGCGCTTCTGTAAATAATGAATGAAACTGTAAAATAATGGAAAAATAAAATCTGGAAAATAATGCGCTTTTGTTCAGCGCATTATTCAGACCAGTATTTGGAACTGGAACTTACCTGAAACTTAACTGAAATTAAAATAAAGTTATATGTAATACAAACATTTTAAAGCAACTTGAACTAAATTTATTAAATCTTTTTTTACTCTGGAAGCTTCATCATAAGAAAAAATTGTAAAACGGAGCATTTTAAAATTAAAAAATTTTAAAATGCTCTGTTTTAAAATTAAATAAAAGAATTTTAATTAAATTTAATAAATTTATTTACTAAAAACTATGATTAATAAAAAAATATTTAAATTTAATGTAATAAATTGAAAATATATATATTTTTTTAACTTGAATGTTTTTAAACTTATGGAATATAAAACTTAATATTAAATATGATAAAAAGTTTAAACTTAAAACACTTTTTTTTAAACTAATTTTTAACAACAACAATAAAAATAATTAAACGAATTTTTCTTTAACAAAAAATCTATTAGTTTACAATTGCGGTTAAATGCTTTTACTTACGACTTTATTTTCTTCTGAATAAACGTCACATAAACGATATCAAAAGATAATTTAAATATTCTAAAAGATTAAAGTTTTTGCGTACTGCAAAACTGCTGAACGCGTAGGCAAATTGCCTTTTCGCAGGTAAAATGCAAGCTGCGTAACAATTCTTAACAAGGCCTGAAATATATATAAATTAATTTTTATTAAATAAAATTTCTATTAGTAAAATTGTGCTAAAAGAAACCAGCAACATTTTTGCTTTCACGTTTTTCGCTTTAACAACCTTGAAATTATTGAAGTTATATTTAGTTAACTTTACTGAATGGATAGTAATTAAAGAAAGAATGTAAATTTTTTTAACGTTTTGAATTATATATTTTTTCTTGAAAATAGTTTTAAAAGTAGAAACATTCTATTATAAACATCAAAGCAGTGATTGCAAATTGCAAGTTAAAATAAAAATTATAAAAATTTTAAATTAAATTTAATAAATTATTTTACTTCTGTTCAAAAAAAATTTTTTCTGAAAAAATAATTTAAGCATATTCTTACACCTTAATATAATTCGATTCATTAAACAAAAATTTTTGTTTCACTTTTTTTTGGAAAACAATTAGAATAAAAAAAAATTGAATGAAAACATCAGTTTAAAAACCATTTGAATGAAAAACTTAACTATACTCAAATTTTTAATTGTACGCTTGATCAGGAAACGATAATTTATAAAAGACGTGGTATCTAATATTTTATGCTTAGATCTTACTCGTTTGGTCCATATATTATAAACTCTTATAGGTCTATAGGCGCAAATATGAAGTTTTGTTTTAGTTTATTAACTAGACCAATTTTATTTATTTGCTTTTATTTTAAATGGGTTTTATTTTATAAATTGTATAAATCAACACGAAACAGCGTCACAAATTTGTTTTACATTAACCCAAGCTCTTTATATTTTTAAAACAACTTTGCAGTTTGTTTTAATGTTGTTTTATAGCTCTTAACAATTAAATACTTTTTAAAATTAACACGTGTTTTAACGTCAGCACGAACGTATTAAATAGTTTTCTTTGACTAATTAAAGTGGTTTAGATATTGCAATGTTGCTTTTTCTCTTACTTTTTTACTTTTACTTTTTTAAGTATAATGATACTTATATATATTTATATATTTCTTTAAGTATATATTTTACTTAAGTAAAATATATATTTAAAGAAATATCTTAATAGTTTTAAAAACGTTATTGCTTATTACAACTGCAACTTAAATTTTAAGTTATAACTTAAGTTATAAATAATAACAGTAACTTACGCTATTTTAAACTCTGCCGAACAAGATAATTATAAGATTATATTTAAATAGGAGAGATAATATATTAAAAGTGGAACAATTATGTACAAAAGTTACAATTATATACTAACGCAACTTTCCTTCCCCCCCCCCCCCCCATTACCGCAAAGAAGTGCAAGGTTTAAGGGGAGGGGGGGTGAAAAATTTTTTTGCGATTAGATTTTTTTGTGTTAATTCGAGCCCTATATATATATATATATATATATTTATATATATATATATATATATATATATATATATATATATATATATATATATATATATATATATATATATATATATATATATATATATATATATATATATATATATATATATATATATGTATATATAATTTAAATTCTTTATTTAATTGTTGGATTTAAATCTTGACTCTCTTGTCGAATTTTTTAGCATCAAAATAAAGTAGGTACTTGAAAAAAGGAAAAAAAACAATACACCACATAAATTGCTTTTAACAGTTGTAGTTAAGACAAAATAAATTAAAGATAATTTTAATAACAATCATAGTGTATATTTGTTCAATTAGAAGTTATTCCATTTTTATTAATTTATTTCATGGCTAATTTCCTAAGGTACAATAAAGTGAATAAAAAGTAAACAATAACTTGTCTTATGCCATTTAAAATAATTTATATAAATAATACAACTAAAACATAAAAAAAATGAATTTTGTGTCAACCACATTGCTCTTTATAAAATATTTTACATGTTTTATTTTAAAGAAATCAAAACATAAAATGTGCTAACTACAGCGCAATTATGCCATTTTTAATTTTAATTATAACTGCTGCTTATTGCTAATATAATGTAGATTTATTTGGATTTAAAGTTTGTCAGTTTAAAGTTTTAATACTTGCTTTTGCTTTTAAATTTGTATATTAGTTACTACTTGTATATTAGAATCTTGTTTTAAGTCTAGCTATAGCAAGAAGGGGGGAGAAAATAGTAAATAACTTTTATTTATCTTAAAGATAATTATTTAAAAATTATTTTACTTATTTTTCTCAAAGTTTAAATTTTTTTTATATACCAACTTTATTTTCAAATTAGATTACACAGACAAGATTCTATTTTTTAAAATAAAGTTACAAATATTTTGGATATCCACACATAACTTAATGAGATGCCATGAGAAATATTCCTAAGGTTTTGCAGTACTCTGAACAATACAAACGTTGTTTGTATTATCATATTTGTCATAGCAATTTTTATGACTTAAGAACAGATAATGATAATTAAACATTAAAAACTATTTTTAATATTGTAGTTTTTCAAATTTATTAAACTATTTATCTTACAATTGATGTAATTATTTCACTATTGTATGTAACTGGAAATATCTGATGAGTTCTCAATTACATGCAACAACTTTTATGTTCTTTATTACGCCTTACTTTTACTAATAATAATTTATGTAATCTTAATTATATCTTGTTTTTCTCAATTAGAACTTTAATGTTTTTTATTACAATTTTTGTTTCTTAAATAAAATTTACATAAGATTTGCATGATTTTAAAAAGATTATATGTAAACTATCATCTTGATTAGAAAAAGGTTTAGAAATTTCTCTAAGTTTGGAAATCGTTCTAAATCCACAAAGCTATTGCTAAAATTTGAGAAGATTTGAACATTTGCTTTTTAATTAAATTTTTAAATATCTTAGATTTCATTATGAAATTATAGATTGCCTAACATTATAACCAATCAGAATCTAGCTAAAAATCTTATCTACACTGCTCTTGTGAATATGAAATATTTAAGTTAGATTTCTAGGTTTTAAATATTTACAAATGCCAGTATTTTATTGCACATATACTTCTCTTCTCTGTAAATTCTAAAACTTTTTTTTTAAGTTAAAAATTCAAGGGTTATTTAAAAGTTATTTAATAGTGATTAAGTTTTATACCACATTTTGACCATCAAAAATATCAACATATTATTATTTAGTTTGCAATTAGAAAAATACTCACTGTTGGTTTAGTGGTTTCCATACTAGGTAAACCAAGTGGAGGTTGACCTATCAGCTTTGCTTTTGATCGTGTTAACTTTGCTTTACTTATGATGTCATTGCAACTATTCCCAGCTGCATTTTGTGCATATTCGAGGACTCGTTTATCTGATAAAACATGCTAAAAAAATTGTTACAAAAATTATTTTAATAACTTATTTTTAATTTTATAAAGTTTCAGTAAAATTTAATTGTATTATTTATTAAATTGATCTATTATTTATGATATATTATAACTATTAATCTCTGCGCAGCTAATATTTTATTTTTATGAGGTTCCTCTCCTTAAGGCCACTACAAAAAAGAAGTCTTTTTTTTTTTCAAACTGTTATTATAAGCCATTCTCAACTCTTTAACTCTTAACTATGCAACTTGTCAAACAAGGCGGCTGCACTGAGAAAATTAGGTTTTTAAAAAAAGTTAATTAAGTTGAAAAAAATTTTAACTTGAACATAAAGTTTTAAAAAGTTTCAACTTACACGTAAGATGCTCTTAACATTAATAGCAGTTAAATTAGCTTTAGCAGCACTTTCTTCTAACTCTTCTTCCAGTTTTTCCCAATCAATTTCATATTCATCAGAGATATCACTCTCATCGCCATCAGCAGCACTATCATCACTATTTGCAAAATTTTCTACACGACGTCGTTTATTAAAACCACTCTTAATTTTTGGAGCTTTTCGCTTATTATTTGAAACTGGAGGTATATCAGAAGAGGTATGTATTTCAGAATTTGGCAAATCAGAATTTGGGTGATTATACGAAGTTGTCATATCAGAATTTTGGTGAAAATCAGTTATTGAATTTTCCATTATTTTAAAACAAATGTAACTAACATAAATAAATATATTACTTTATATTTTATAACACAACTTTGGTACATATTTAATATTTTAACAACAATTAAACATATAACAATATTTTTACAAGAAAAATTATAACATAAGAAAATTATAAAAGCTAAGATCATATTTCTTGAAAAAGCTAAGAAAAAAAAAATTTTTTTTCAACTAAAACTACTGATTACTTTCAGGCACTATAAATATTTTTTCATAATCTTCAGTTACCATTAAAATATTTTTTAGTCATCTTCAGAGATAACTTGCTTTATTCTTGTTAAAATAAAAATAAAATCCCAAATAATAAGAAAAACAAGAGAAAGAAAGTGTTAAAAACTGCAAATCATAAGCAGTAGAAGGAATAAGGGAGAAAAGAGAAGGTCCTTCTCTCCCTCATTCTTTCTACTCCTTAAATGTCCTGGTAAATATAAAACAAAATAAACAAAAACAGCGAAACATAAAAGTTTTATTTTTTCATGTTAACTATTAATTTATTTTATTTGTAGCTTAGTCTGTAGCTGTTATTTAAATAGTTATATGATGTAAACAAACACAAAATAGGACTTTTTTTTCTGATAAACTCATTTCCAACAAGATTAAAATTACAAATCAAGTAGTAGTTAACAAAAAGCAAAGAAAAGAGTTAAAATACAAGAAAGCTGTAAATTAAAAAATGCAATTTCTTATTAAAAAAAAAAGTTTTTGAGCATGAGGGAACAGTTATAGTGAAATGAATTAGCTAAATGATGAGTTACAGAAGATTGAGTTTGGGTTGATGGAACAAGTGATAAAACAAAATAAACAATAGTTTGTTTGATCAACAACCATAGTAGTATTTATAGAAAAGAATAAAAGATGCATATTTATGAGGATGGGAGAATGACAGAAGATCAAGTATTATTAGCTAGAGAAGGTCCAACAATATTTCCTGTGCATTTTTGAACCTTGTCTAAATGAGAGAATGTCTTATTAGAAAGACCAGCCTAAATTTCCAGTGTGTCAAGGAATTATTATGCACTCAAAGTTTAATATATTTTAATTTATTAATTATTAACACTTTTGTTTAGTATATAATTGTTTTGAATATAATCAATGTTGTTATATAACTATTATATTATTATTTTTAACAGGAAAATATTTCAGTTTTTAAAGAAAAACACCTGTTTGGGAATATTTTTATAAAGATAGTGCAAAGTGAAAAATTTGATCACCAGTTTTGAAGGCATTCAAAATGTGAACAAAAATCTATTTCCAAAAAACCACAAAATTCAAATTTAGTCATGAGAAAGATTAGTCACTAGAAAACCAATCAACACCTCAAGTTTCTTGTTTTGATGCTTTTTTTAAACAATGCTTGAAAAGCTGAAACCCAATTGGTTGCAAATAATGCCTAAGTTTCAACCTTTTTGCAAATAGTGTTTTGCCTAAAAGAGAAATTATTGTGAGTCAAACTTTTTTTAAAAATCTACAAAGTGTCAGGGAACAATTTATGACAGCATGGTAAAACTAACATTATTATTAGAATTTCAAGCAGGTTGTTTTTTTATGACTTTATTACTATTACTTATGATGAGGTATTCTAATAAATTTTAAACAAGAAACTAATCCTATTCATTTAGCTTGTCTTGTAGATGCAATATATCTTTATATTGGTGATATACTTTATAAACTTATTGTTACAGTACACCTATAGTTAAAACTTTATAGGTGTGTCTATATGTAATAATAATTAGTAAACCTAATGTATTAAATTTTCACAATAAAAAAACTATTAATAAAAACACATAAACAAAACCTGAAGTAATACAGCATAAGTTTCTAAAATACAAACTGACTTATTAGACTTATTGACTTTAACTAAACCCAATTGAAAAAAATCTAAAATAATAGACAAACTTATTTCAAAAAAAAAAGTTTTTCGGATTAAAATTTATTAACATTAGAAAATTTTGATATGCTTGTTATTGCTGTTGTTTTTTTTTTCAGATAAACTGTTAGACTAATTTTGAAATAAAAGATAATTTCAATTAATTTAGTTAAGCCAATTGATATTGCCAGAAGTTTTAAAAATATTAAATTTACTTATCTAAAAATTTAGTTTTTACTATAACTTGAATAAATTTTATGCCATTTGTTTTTTGTTTAAAAAAAAAAAATGATACTAATAATAAATTAATTGCAATTTAAAAATGATGATACTATTAATAAATAAATTGCAATCTAAAAATTCCGAGTTCTTTTTACTCTTAAATAAACTTAAATCGGGAGTTTAGTATCAGAGTTTTATTTCTTTTATATAAGTTGTTATGTTGCAAACAACAGCTTTTAAATATATGATAGTATTTTATCCCCACAATTTAGGTACATAAGCCTTTCCTGTCTTTTCTTATTTTTAAAATCAACGTTGTCTCAGATAACATTGATATTACATTATGCAATTAACTTTCGATAATTTTAGTAAAGTCTTTCATAGTTAGATATGAAATATTATCTAACAGCTTTATTTCAAGTAACTGTATGTAATTGAATAATAAATCGAGGGTCTTCTTTTGGTAGCTTTTTATACAAAGTAAACCTAAAACGTTTCAAAAAAATAAAAGGTAGGCATGTTTAACTCTTGTTTATTTACAAAAACTTATAAGTTGATGTAAATAAAAAAAATTCATCTTTATTATTCATCAACGAAATCAAATTAACTCAATATATATTTTTGTTTTTTTTTTTTTTATTTATGCCGAGTAAAAAAAACGTTAAAAAAAAATTAGGTAAGCGCTAAATATCGTAAAGTAAGCGCCAAATTCAGAAGTAAAAATTCGTCAAGATTTGTTACGCGTCAACTGAGCCGGTCTAGGTCGTCAGTATTATTTAAAGGGTCGTCCATAAAATACGTCACGCAACTTTTGACCGTTTTCAAACTCCCCCCCCCCCCCCCCCCCCTCGTCACAAAATCGTAACATTTGAGAAGCGAGTTTTGACAAAACCACTAAGCCCCCTCCCCCTTATAGCGTGACGTAATTTATGGACGACCCCTAAGGGTAGCGCTCACCGAATAGAGCAATGTAGCAAATGTAACGCTAATAATTATAATAAAATAAATGTAACGCTAATAGTAATAATAAAATAAATGTAAAATAATAAATATATAATAATAATAATAATAAAATAAATGTAAAATAATAAATGTATAATAATAAAATAAATGTAACGCTAATAATAATAATAATAAAATAAATATAACGCTAAAAATAATAATTTCATGCCTGCTAGGTGCTAAACAATCAACGTATCGTGTACTAAGAGCGAAAAAAAGCGCTTAAAAAATAAAATCTTTATTGATTTAAATTTATTCTTTTTTAATAGTTTTAATAATTTATAATTTTTTTTAAATTTTAGTCTAAATTAATTTTGTAACATGAATTAGAAAACTAGATAAATTATTTCGTAGAGTTTTTTTGTTGTTTGTACTGCCTTATGGGTATAAACTTTTTTACCTCAATCAATTTTAATAACAAACTCATTAGTTAAGGAAAAGACACCATAATCTAATTTGGGCATCATATATCACAGCACAAAATATACACCATAATACAGTGTGATGGATGGCACATAAGAATTATGAATGTCACTTATAATTAAAAAGCTATTAATAGCTTTTTAAAAGCTTTTAATAAGCTATTAATAGCTATTAATAGCTTTAATATATTAGAGCTATTATACAAAGAATACAAGTTTTGCGCTGTTAAAATGTAGCAGTATATCAGTTTTACACAGCACACAATATATATATATATATATATATATATATATATATATATATATATATATATATATATATATATATATATATATATATATATATATACACACTAACACATACATATATATATATATATATATATATATATATATATATATATATATATAATATATATATATATATGTATGTGTTAGTGTGTATATATATATATATATATATATATATATATATATATATATATATATATATATATATATATATTACCAATAAGTAAAAAAAGTAAGTCAACAAAATAAACAATAAACGAAATATTTTCTTCTTTTAATTTTACAAAAATTACACTAATTATAAATTTTAATATTTTAGCATTTTAGAGGCCTTTCAATAAATCCAATATATATATATATATATATATATATATATATATATATATATATATATATATATATATATATATATATATATATATATATATATATATATCCTTATATTATAGTTGCAAGAGTCTCTTTCGACTACAATTTTAATACCTTGACTCTTAAGCTGTTTTAATTCTCGTCGAAATGTCAAAGCAATTAAATTAATGTGGAAGTACATTAAATTTTGTTGTTTTTAAAAAAAACTGCAATAATAATGACTAGAAAGTTTTTTTTTAACTAATGGTGTTTTTGTTGTTTTATTAAAATATATTTTTAAAACATGCGTGGAGCATTGCTATATCAACTATTTTATAGCCTGCTGTTACAAAGGAGTGTTGCTACATCGACTATCTTATAGCTTGACTTGCAACGGAGTGCTGCTACATCCACTATCTTATAGCCTGACTCGCAGCAGAGTGCTGCTATATTGACTGACAAATAGCCTGACTCGCAAAGGAGTGCTGCTACATCGGCTGACAAATAGCCTGACTCGCAAGGGAATGCTGCTACATCGACTGAGAGTTTGGTTTGGGCAGGCAGTCTATCATTATAAAAAATTTAAGTTTTTAAACTTTTTCTGGTCTGGTTTATTAATGCACTCTTTAAAACTACAGTTTATGGGAAAAACTTTCTGACTATATATGTGTATATTATATATATATATATATATATATATATATATATATATATATATATATATATATATATATATATATTATTAAGAAAGTACTCATTTCTCTATAAAATAGAAATACAAACTGTGTTATACACAGTTTGTGTTTTTATTTCTCATTAATCTAGATTACGAAGAAAGGGGAAAAAATACAAAATAAAGATTAATACTTTATTCAAGCTGCCCTTTGAAATCACCACATTTCTACTGATGAAATAAAAACAGTTTTTTTTGTCGCTGACTGAAGGATGATCATTTATCTCATCTGTAAAAATGTGGCGTTTTTTATGTGCAGCTTGAACAATGCATCTATCTTCTCATTTAAATATGAAATTATTGAGAAAAGTAGAGTAAAATTAACTTCAGTTTAATATGAAATCTATTAAATATAAATAACAGGGTTAAATAGAAAGTAATAAATATTCAAAAAGTGGACATATGGGTTTAAGCTTTGTTAAAATTCTTTTAAAACCCAATTAAAGTAAATTTTTCTTCAAAATAAAACCTTGGCTGGTTTTTTTGGCCTATACTATATATGTGTGTGTATATATATATATATTTATATATATATATATATATATATATATATATATATATATATATATATATATATATATATATATATATATTTACAATAGTGCTCTGTTTAGCACGCAACAGAATTGCTGAAACAAGAAAAAAGCTGTTCATAAATTTAGCATTCTTGGGTTTGAAGTTGTTTTTAGGTCGAACTTTAATAAGGAATGTGACCACCTCTACTTTTTATGCAAAATGAACATCTTTTTCTTATAGAATCGAAAAGTTTACGACAATATTCAACTGTAAAGTCATTAAACAACTTTTTTAAGTTTTCTTTTTGATTTTTAGCTGACGTTATTGGTTCTTTAATAAGTTTTTGGTCCAACGCAGTCCAAACATTTTCAATTGAATTCAGATCAGGTGATCTAGCTGGCCTCTGAAGTACCTTGATATTGTTTTGCACAAACCATTCTGTTAAAGATTTTGCTTTATGGCATGGAGCATTGTCTTGTTGAAACATCCACTCTGGCTCGTTACCAAAAAAATGTCCTTGGTAGGCATTAAATGGTTTTCATAGATGTCGATATATCTATGTTGGTACATTTGACCACTGTATAACGTGTATAGACCTGAGCCATCTATGTGATGCAGCTCCAAATACCAACTGCACCACCCCCACCTTGTAGTATAGGTACAATACAGCGACTATTATACTTTTCATTGTGGTGCCTACAGACAATGTTTTTATGATTTAGGATAGTGTAGTTAGATTAATCACTAAAAATAATTTTTCTTAATTCATAATTACTCATTTTTAAACTCGTTTTAAACGGTCTGTTGGTTTTAATAATGGTTTTCTGGCAGCAACATAGCTCCTCAGCTTACAACCTATTAGTGTTCTTTTAACTGTTTGCCTTGATACTTGATTTTTAAGTGCCAGGTTTATTTCTTGTGCAATATGTTTTGCTGAGTATTTCAGATTTTTTCTGACAGTTCTATAAGTAGAATTATCATCAGTGTTAATTGTCTTTCTTGGTCACCCACAATGCTTTTTGTCAGCAGTACTACCAGTTTCATTAAATTTAACAATAGTTCTACTTACACATGATGGTGAAACACTTAATGTTTGTAAATGCACTTCAAGATATTTCAATGTTAGAGTGACCTCCCATATTAAGGCCAATAATATGCTGTTTGATTTCTTGACTTATAGTTTTTCTTCCCATGGGAAATTTCAATTTTCTATTATTATTATAATCTAAAATTAAGCAAAAAGATGAATTAATTTAAAACAAACTTTTAAAATACTAAATATTACTTTAAATATATTTTTGTAATATTTCATTAAAAAGAAGAGTTTAATTTTTATTATGATGCAACTTTTATGGCAATAAATTTATAAAAAATCTCCTTAAAAGCTTCAAGAAGAACTAGCAAGCTAAACTTATGAGCAGCTTTTTTTTAAAGCTTAAAATACCTCTTAATGTATGTACTTAAAAAAATAGATGTATCTAAACAAACTTTTTTTAAATTTTTCTTTTTTTATCTGGTTTTGTCTTGTTAATTGATGAATTAAAAAAAAACTTTTTTTTAAAGCTGTACTAACTGAAAAATTAACATATATGGAAAAAACTAAATTTAATTCTTAAAAAAGTTAGCTTAGACACATCTATTTTTTTAAGTACATAGTTAGTATATATATATATATATATATATATATATATATATATATATATATATATATATATATATATATATATATATATATATTTATATATATATATATTAGGAATGTTATTTATTATATAACATCGATATATCTAAACTAACTATAAAACCTGTCTAGTTTTTTTTATATATATAAGAGTATCTAATTAAAATTTATAAATAAAAAATGACTGCCAATCTAATGACTGGTGAAGTTGATTCCTTGTTTTTAAAAGCTATTTTTCTTCTGCATTCAAAAAATGCTGATTCAACTCAACAGTTGCAAGATTTGTTACATGATTACAAAGAAAAGACATTTGGATTTTCAAAAGCTAGAAATGTAAGTATAATCATCAATCAATATATTTCAAAATTAAAATTTTGTTTAAAATATAGTAAAAAATACTTAAGTTCATAATATTATAATTTTCTGTTTAAAAAAGTATTTTTGAAGAGACAATGTAAATAGCATACTTATTAAAATCAAAGACCTTGTAAAAAGCAAAATAACAGTCAAGCAACAATAACTAAAGAAAAAAAATTCTTGTTCTATTATTATTATCTTTTGAATATTAGTAATAATATATTTAGTATAAGTTAAGATGATATTAGTAATAATATATTTAGTATAAGTTGAGATAATGGCATCATCTTTGTTTGAGATAAAACAAAAGTTTTTTTCAAGTAAGAGTTATTTGATATATTGCAAACATTTATTGAATCTATAGAAAAGCTAGCTTATAACAAATTAATATTAAATCACTTTACCTTAATTTAGCTTTTAATTTTTAAAAAAGTTTTTAGAGCAAATCACATGTATCTGGTTTGAGTAGTAGATGACTAGAGACTACTAGCTAAGGCTACTAGTCAAGTTGTCAAGTTTAAAAGACATTTATATTTACAAATAAGAGAATTGTATATTGATTTCAGCTCAGAAAATTTAAAATCTGCAACTTTCACTCTTAAATCTTTTTAAAAAATTTAAAAAACTTTTATTTTTATTGAGTTGTCTTAACTGCTAATCAGTATAACCAATGCTTAGTAAAATTGCATTTCTTGATGTTTTGGATTATAATTAAAAAAAAAATTAAATCATACATCCAATTTTTATTTATATAGTTCTGAATTATACATGGTCCTGAATTATCAGTACCAGGACTCTCAAAAACAAGATATCAAAGCATCAACAGATGTTATGGTGGTATCAAAGTTGATGGGATGTTTGTATGGTGGCAGATTATTACTAGTGTTTGAAACAAGAAACTGAAGTTATAAAATAAAATAAATTTAGCTCCTTATTCAATTTTCTTTTTTATAAGTTCCTTTCGAACTTATAAAAAATAAAATTGAAAACAACACATGTAGTGTTGGTGCAGTGGCACAGTGCCTAATTTGTATGAAAAAGGTACCAAATTCAAAATTTGATTATAAAAAACAGTAATGTGCAGTTAATGTTTTATGCCCTTTTAAAATTAGTAAAATTAATCTAAATCCGATAAAAATCTAAATTATTTTCAAAAATTGTTTGTAAGTGAGAAGAGGGAATTGTAACTTTTATTTTTTGTATTGATATATTATATATCAAGATATATCATAACAATATTTATGTCAATCACCCTCCTCTTAAAATATTCAAATAAGTTTATAAATCAAGTCTTTCAGGTGTTTTATAAATTTGTGAAGATCTATGAGTTAAAAGGTCCATTTGTTTTATAGGATTCATATTATCTTTAACTTTCTTTTCCGTAGTTAAAGAAGTTTTGTCACTATTTATAGAAGTGTTTTTTACATTATCAACTGATGCTTGTATTTCAGTCCTTAATCCAATAGGAGCAAGTTGTTTTGTAGAAAATGTAATTTTTTGACCATTAGGGAATCTCACTTATGCATAGTGAGAGTGCTTCAAGGAGTTGGACCTCTTTTACAGAATCTTCTCCTTATAATTCTATTATATCTTTCAACTTTTTTATTTCCAGCTGGGTTATAAGGGGTTGTACTACTAGTTGCAATTTCTTTTGTAAAGAATCACAGTTTAATTCAGAAGAAATTAAGGATGATCCATAATCTGAATGAATATAGCTAGGTTACTAAACATGGAAAATAGATAAGCTAAACAGTTAGTTATTGTCTAAGTTGTATTCTTTTACCGCCTAGGCAAAAAAAAGTGAGTATTTATCTGCAACGATAAACGTGTATTTCTCAGGGGTTACAGAAGATAATATTCCTTTAAAATCCATGGATATACGTTCAAAAAGCTGAGTTGCTTTGATAAGACGTGTAACATTTGGATGATAGTACTTCGGTTTTATTTCATTACATATTCTACAATCTTTGCATATTTGCCTTACATCTTTCACAGAATAAGGTAAGTTTCTTGAAAAAATTTATTTAGAATAAAATGTAGAAGTGGTCTAATTTTTATAAAAAATTAAACCACTTCTACATTTCCCTGGATGATAATGAATATCATATGTAGAGACCAGGCTATTCTCTAATGCATTATCTTATTCGTTATTTTACTATTTGGTTCATAATCATACATAAATGCTACAGAGCGTAGGTCTGTAATATAAATGAAATCAATCCAGAAGAAAATGTCTCCAATGGTTTATGACTTCAAACATCGTTTGCATAGAAGATTGAACAAGCTCATTTTTTAAGTTTTTAAATGCGAATATTTGTTATTGATTGAGTGGGAATTGGATAACACAGTTCAAAGGTTGAATTTTATCTGAAAATTTTCTTATCCATTTTGCATAGTATGAGAATATTCCAATAGTCCATTGCAGAGACTTAGCATTATCAGGTGGAGGTAACTTTATAAATGAGACAAGTTGCTAAGGATCAGGTTTTAAAGAACCATATCATATACTGTAATCCAAAAAATCTATTGTGTCAGTTGAAAAAACACTCTTAACATCCTCTATTTCTGACTATTACCACATGTTAGTTCATAGATCTTCATAAAGTTGTCTATTTTGCATTGAAAACATACTGATCCATTGGTAATTCAAAAAGGTATTCTAGTGTATTGCCACAGTTTATTGTCAGCTTCAAAAGCAGTATATGGTCAATAGCTTTTTGATAAAAGTATTTAATAGTAAGCAGAACAAAGGTCTAGAGTACTAAAAATTTTGTATTTTAGAAATCATGCTGTCTTAAGTAAAGGAAATGCATCTGGGTTATTAATTACCTATTAATAGTTTCAGAATAATTGAATACCATACAACGTTTAGTTTTTTTGTCTACTAATAAAACTTTAGCACACCAAGGTGAATTACTTGGATCTATTCCTGCTTTAATCAAATGTTTTCAGATTTAATAAGTTATCTATCTCTTTGAGAATAATGTTAAGATCTAGTAGCAATAGATCAGCAATCTTTGGTGAGATTAACAAACAATACTAGAGGCTCAGTTTTCATTGTTGTAAGAGCTGCAAAAGTTATAGGTGGTTGTTTTCCAATATATATAATTGTGGAAAAATATATAATACTTTCATGCATTTCTTGAAAATCTGTATCAAAAATGTTGAAGTTGAAAATCTGTACCAAAAATGTTGAAGTTATCTTGACTTATAGATTTTGTTTTGAAGAGTTGTTAAAACATAACAATATCTGTCTGATTTTGCTGACAAAGAATCTGATGCCGTTTCAATAACATTCTTTTCACAAATAACAAATAAATTCTAAATTGAGTAAATAGTTTATTGACAATGGAACTTTTTTTGTACTTCCAATATCATTCAAGGCATTTTATTATTATATACATATTTGTCATTAATCATAATTTTGTGGCATACTTGAAAGAGAGAGTTGGCTGAGGCTGATAAGTGGAACTGGTGTAATTATCCTAAATTTTAGGGATGGCTGCTGAGAAATTAGAAGATCAACAAAGTGTTTTAAAATGATTTATCTTTTTACATTTGACAGATCGCTTGATGAGCAGGACATTTGGTGTGTGGATGTCTAATGTTTCCACAGAACCAACACAATTGTTTTGATTTTACTGCAGCAGCTACATGATAACTGGTATGAATAATGACATCACTTAAAAATGGTTTTTGCAGAGATGAATTTATTTCCTGAATGCAGTGTTAGTGAATTTGTTGGGCCATATCTTGCTTGGTCAAAAGCTGATGTAAGGTCTAATGAGTTGTTCTCTTATAAATGTTGGCGTATAATGTTGGAAAGCAAGCCATTTATAAAAGCATCATAAATCATTTCAGATTTGTACTGCTCTGTGCTAACAGTACTAAACTTACTTTCCTTAGATAAGTTCTTTAGTTCATTTAGAAATAGGTCAATCAGTTCACTATTTTTTTGCTTACCTGTAGATAAAATGTCTGGCAATTATATCATTCTTTGGTTTTGTAATAATAGAGTCAAGTATACTTGTTGCTTGCTCAAACTCATCACACTCTAAAATATATTCATACAAATTAGGTTCAATATGATTAATTAGTAGATTAAGCTTCATATCATTATCAGAAAAATGTACTTATAAAGTTGTTAAATGATTTGAACCAATGGTTGTATTGCTGCATCTGGTGAGTTAAGATCTATGCTGAATTTTTTGATTTTCATTCATTTTTTTTTGTGATAATAATTTTAGCTCTTTTTATATAATGAAAAATCAGATATTTTGTTGGTTCAAAAGAGCTATAATTGTATTAGTCTATAAAAGAAAAAAAAATTCATAACACAGTATAATAAATAATGTAAATTTTACTATATATATATAAATATATATATATATATATATATATATATATTATATATATATATATATATATATATATATTGATATATATATATTGATATATCAAGATATATCATAGCAACATTTTATTATTACAAGATATATCATAACAACAATTATGTAGAATAGGGTGTCCCAAAAAAAAAAAAAAAGCTCTCTACTGATTCCCATTCTATGTGACCTAAATAAGTACTAAAAAAAATTTGACGGTTTTATTTTGACAGGAAGTGCTAGATGTAAAATCTGAGTTTTACTGTTTTAATGTTAAGCTAGCTTAACATTAATAGAAAACACATTTTAGAAAATTAAAACAAAACAATTAAATGGGTATAAATTATTTCCAATTGTTTTCTACTATTTAACTTGATAGATTATATTTATAAATATGAAAATACAAAAAAAATACATGAAAACTAATATTTATTAGCAAATTTAAGATTTTATTGCGGTGAATCATTTCTCAAAAAATACAACTTTTTGAACAGTTCCCAAGCTCCTTTTTAGTCATAGTCTTAGTCAAGTTTTTTCTAGACTTTAACTACAAAAAGTACATTTTGAAGGTGATCTTCATCTCTAGTAGCTGAAATAAAATCTTTAATGAGCTTAATGTTTCTTTCTGCACCATCATTTACAACAGATATGTTTTTGATCCATGCAATAAAATCTAGCAACTGAGGATGGTTAAAAACATCTATAGTATTAAGACTATTATTAAGCCATTCTTTTATACTTGCTCTTGATATTTTGAAATGTTTGAAGAGAAGGTAGCTTTGCTCAGAAATCAACTCAGGTAGCTCTGTGGTCTCTCCAATTTGTACATTTGATGGTTTACAACGCTGAAATTCATTTAGCTCTTCAAACTCAATCAGAGCTAACAGCATTCTTAGCTTTGTTTCAGAAGGAACTTCTTTATCCCCAAAGTAAAAAACACAGAGTTGCGGAGTTAAGTACCACGTATGGCGTCCCATGCTGAGAACCAAAGCATTTCCAATATTCTTACTAACTTTTCTCAATGCATAGACTGTCTGGATAGCTTTCAAATCATTGTAGAGAGCCAGAAATCCTAAAAAACTTTTTAAAAACCATGGAACATAGCAAATTGCAATGAACAAACTTGCATCCTTCAACTGCAGCATTTCTTTTTCTGTCAAGATATTACTGATATCTTTAGTCATATAAAGAGTCAGGATGTAGATCGCATCTGCTAAAAACCTTGCCTCATGGCAGGCGCCAGGTTGATGGAACTTAAAATCTTGTACTTCCACTCCAAGGAAGAAGGAGGCAAGCTTACAAACTATACCATAATCATTCCTTGAAAACACTATATCAGTAGTTGCATTAGTCAAAAATGTCTTAGCTTCCTCTGCAACAGTGCGAAGAACAGAGCCAATCTTCAGATCATCTCTTTGCCAGTCCAATTTACATAAATTTTTCACTTCATTCACTTTCTCACAGATTTCAGGCCACTTGTTCTTTAGCTTGACATAAAGAGCTCTTCTTTGACCTTTAGTTTTCTCACCAGTAAGGGCAGCCATATAGTGAGATACATGTACTTCATATATGTGTCTCCTACACATTATCCACAAAATTGGTAATTTCAAAATATCTGTATAAATTTGGACTGCTCCATTTACTCCGCCTGTATTGCTTGCAGTTGTATCACAGCATATACCAATGATCTGCTCTTTATATCCGTAATATTCTAAAAGATTGTGCACTTGTTCTGCTTGGTCAACTCCCTTTGAAGAGGGACATAGAACAACACCTAAAAGATGGTCTTCCATGGTATCGTCATCCGGGGAACTCACTGAGACTGCAAGTCGCTCAATTTTTTGAATAATGTTAAGCCCAGTGGTAATTTGTTCCAACAGTTTGGTATCAAAATGAAGAATAAGCCGTCGGCCTTTAAGATGATTAGGTATTGAAATCCACTCCGAGTCTCCTTCAAGTTCTACATATTTGAACTTTTTTCTATGAAGTGTGCTTCGTGAAAGCGGTATATCATTAATTTCTATACCTCCAGCTTTAAATACTTCACTTAAAATTGCCAGATGAGGTCGTACACCAACATTGAACCTTGTTGCTGGAATAGCAGTACATTCAATGAGCTTTTCAACATTCTAGATTTATTCTATCTCCAGAATTGTACCTAGGTATCATTTTATAATATTTTTCTACCTATTTATAATTACATACTTTTCAATAAAACAGCTTTAGCTTGTGAAAATTACAACTATGTTATTAAAATAATACTATACCTGCGTTTCCGACCGTTACCCAGGAAATCATCTTCCTCACTGATTTCAGAGTCCTCGTTTGACTTTTCTTCCTCACTGCTGAATTGAATCTCTTCTGTCATGGAGTCATGTGACAACAAAACATCATTGATATCTCTTAAGTTTTTCTGTCTCTCTAATTCTTTCTCTCTCAAATTATCTAGCTTGTTCTTTCTCCTGTTTGCATCCAGTACTCTTCTACTGTAGTCTTCATTGACTTTTGTTTCCATATATCCTTTCCTATGTAACTTCTGGTCTTCATAAAAACTAAGAAATATTTAAATCTAGTAAGCCATTTATAAATAAATTAATAATTGTTCTAGTTTTTCTTGGAAGATGACCAAACCATGTAAAGAGTAAAACGTAAATATTTTAAAGGAAATAATATGCTATTACTTAAGTTACTTTTAATTGGAAAAAAAATCTCACTACTAAAAAAAGTGTTATTTAATGAACTTACTTTATATCTTCCAGCTTGGCATCATCTGGCATCAGCAAGAATATCTTTTTTTAAATTCTTAGTTGAGATATCAAAAAGCTGATAGGATTCTGTGAGAAAATCTTTCTCTAACTTTGATTGCTTATCAAGATTGCTGTTCCAGAAGACAATTTAATAAATTCTTTTATTTTAAATTAAGTTTAATGATTTTGGTCTTTATATTGTACCCACAAATCACAAATTTCTTGCCAAACCCAGCATTATCCCAAATTTTTTTACCAAGCAAGAATTATCAGGATCTGTACAAACACCATTTTCACAAACAAGATCCTTGGATTTCGATTTCAATTTGCAACCAACATTAGTAGAAGTGGGTTTGTGTTTAACTTGTGACTCGCGAAGGATAAATTGATAGTATCTAAGAATATCACCATTAGATGGAAGCTGTATCTGAGGTAACTCCCTCAGTGGGTACTTCAATAGGTAAATATACCTCAACCTTTCTGTATTTTTCCGTTTTTTCTTATTCTGTCCTATCATCTTTTTTTTAGCTGTTCTACCCATCTTTATATGAATTTCGAAATAATCAGTTTTTTAACTAAATTTTTACTAAATGTTACACTTGCATCAAAAATCTATGAAGTCGTTATTCCCTCTCGTATAATATTTTATCTAAGTTTACCGTTACGGCTTTTATAACCGTTTACACAAGAATTTCTTCGTGCACAAATTAGAATTCCGTTGTGCACAAATAGTTCCATTTAGAAATTTTTTCCTTCAAAAAAAATTTCTAAATAGAGTTATTTGTGAACCAACCCATGGGGAATTATACCAACTAATAATATTGTCCAGAGGGAAAAATATCAATCGCTAACAATGTTCATAGGGAATGATCCTATTCTTTAATAATATTCTATGGGAATTATTTGTGTACTAATTATTACATCATATTAAAACATATTGAAATACTAGATAGCACTGTTTTTTAGTAAATACACATATGTGTACAAAACCGTAAAACTCAGAATTTACATCTATCACTTCTAGTCATTAAAAAGTTAAAAAAAAGATTTTGGTAGCTATTTAGGACCTATAGAATGGGGATCAGTTGAGAGCACATTAAAATTTTTAAAAAAGTGTGTTTTTGGGACACCCTAATGTAGAGCTTGTAAAAATATTCAAAATGAAATAATAGATTTAATGGATTAAAAAGCTAGTTATGAAATAATATAAAGAAAAGCCGTTTTTTATTTAATCATTGCTGATTACCTGGTATGACTACAAAATAATAACTTGCTTTTACTATTTAAAATGCTTGTATCAGACAAGTTGTAATAAAGATTTTTCTGGCATGGCCTTACTGAAATTTTGATTAGGTAGACAGAAGTTTTGATTGATTTGGTAACTAAACACTACTTAAGCTTTCTTACTGCAGAGTCTATGGCTCAACATAATATATGAAACCTTTTTGCAAATCATAAATCTTTGAATTCTATGAACAATTTAATATACTATAATTTAATAGTTTTATTAGGTAAAAATATTTATTATATTTGGAGTTTAATAAATAAAAAATTCTTAGTTAAAATAAAAATAAAACTTTTTTTTTTTTAGGAAATAGTAGAAGAGATAAAAATTGAGCCAAGCACAGAAATTGAGGATAAAAAAGAACTTATAAATACTGTTGAAGAAGTTGCTTCTAACTTCAATGATGAAAAAAAAGAATTGTTTACAAGTGTGTTTAAGACTTTTTTTCATAAATATTTATATACTTGTTTTAATTATAAAAATTAGTTAATCAAGTCTTTTTACATTTTTGTTCAATTGGAACTTTAATAGCTTCCACTACGAAACAATAGAAATTTACTATTTTTATATTCAAATTTATAAAAAATAACATTTACATAAAAAATTTTTGATACAGATAATTTTTTTTGTTTAGAATTCGAAGAGTCAATTATTGAAGAGGTTTCTTCAGCAAGTTCTTTTGAGCCTATATTAAAAAAAAAAAAGATGGCCTCCACAGAAGCTTCTCGGTCCTCAGATTTTATTTTTAATGACGATCTATCTTTAGATGAGTTGGTAGACTACAGTGAGCGTATGTGTAATGTTTGTTCTGAGTACGTGTTTTAAATGTTTGTTTGTTGTTGTTTTTTTGTTGTTTTTAAATAAGTTTTTAATATTTTATAAAAGAATCTTTAACTTTAGGGTATAAAAATTAATGTTTTACATTAAAAACATTAATGTACTGATAACGTGTACTAATGGTGAGAAAATGATGACCAACCTATTTTTCCTAATTCTGAGGGCTGATTGTTGTTTGGCATACTGTTGTTGTATTTGGGCTGATTCTTCTATTGAGTCCACTCTTTTAGATATAATTTAAATATACATATATTATTGATTATTGTAAATACACAGTTTTTGCAATAAACAATAAACAATTCGATTATGCAATAATCAGTTTTTCTACATAAATAGATACAGTATAATGCTTTAAGGCAGAATTTATTACAATTGCAAAATTTAAGCAGTTGTTAATGTAGATTTTGTTTAAGATAAAGTTTTGTTTTTGTTAAAATCACCTGTCAATTATTTTTGGTTGTGTAGCTACCAGTCTAATAGATTACTTGCCCCTGATTTTTTGTTACCAAAATTGATTTCATGTTTTTACGAAATCTTTGTATCATATTTAGTTGGTTTGCCATTTTTAAATTAGCTAACCTGATCTAATTCTTTTAAATCAGTTTTTAACTCTAGTTTGACTTTTCTGTTCCAATCAAAACAGATGTCTTTCATAAACTGAAAGAGTTAAACAACAAGCATCTAAGCAATATTGTTTTAATAAGCAATATTGGATATTGTTTTCCTTCTTGGTTTACCATAAATATTGGGTTTACATTTGTTTTGTTTTTTAAGATTTTTATGATAATTTCTTTAATTAGGTAACTAAGGATTTCTGTGGCATTATAAAAATTTTTATTGTAATTATATAGTAATAATGTTATTACCTGTTTGTTTAATACATTAACCTTTTATAATTAAAGAATTTTAATTTTCAGTTTAAAAAAGTCAAAAAAAGTACTCAAATTTAAAATAGCACTTATAATTTAGTTTTAAACTTTGCAAACTTTGTGTGTGTGTGTGTGTGTATGTATATATATATATATATATATATATATATATATATATATATATATATATATATATATATATATATATATATATATATATATATATATATATATATATATATATATATATATATACACATACACACGGTAGTAAAGTTTGATTGGTTTATATTAAGTCACGTCTGTGAATATTATTGGTTGATTTTTAAAGTTTTATTTGTACAAATTTAAAAAGAATTGCAAATTTATATTGCACGTTTAGCATTGTGGTATCTTATTAATTCTTCGTCCACGACAATCTGGGATTCGAGTCCTTCACTAAGGAAAATCTTTTTAAACTATTTTTTATTTAAGTTTATTATTATTGTTATATATTGAAAGTTACATTGATTTTTATTATTTACATACATAGACTGATATAGCGATAAGCGCAGTGAGTGTACATGCATCAACTTTTTTAGGTGTAGACGCAATGATTGCACATACATCGACTGATTTAGGGATAGGTGTACATACATCGATTAAGGGTTTTGGTTTGGGTATGCATTCTTTAAATCAAAAAAATAAAAAATCAACCAATCAGAAATCATTACTATGGCTTTAAGAAAAAAATTAAACCGACAGTACCGTTGCGCGAGCAACAGCAAAAAAAGAATGACAGTTAATAGTAGACTTAAAAAACTATGAATTGTATGAGCTGGGAAAACCTAAAGAAAAAAATATAAAGATAGGGAAACATTTCCATTCCTTTGTAATGGGTTTTATATATGGTTTTCACAAAAGGCAGTAGTGAATAATAATCTGAGAAGGCATAAAGTAAAGGACTCAGTAATGGGTTGTATATATGGTTTTCACTAAAGGCAGTAGTAAATAATAATAATTGGAGAAGGCATAAAGTAAAGGACTCAGTAAGAGTGTTGCTTTTCTTCAATATAAAAGTTTAAATAATATTGCAATAATTGTTAGTAATAAATAACAAGGTTTTATTTAAGTTAAAATTCACAAACCACTGCCCCATATGAAGCAGGTTTATTGGAATACATGTTACTATAGCAGGAGGGCTGATCTGACTATTTTTAATTATGATTAAAAATAGTCAGATCAGCCCTCCTGCTATTAAGTTATAATAATTATAAAATTATTGTTTTTATTATTATATAAATTATTTTAATTAAAGTAGTTTTAATCAAAAAACTGTAAATTTTAACTAAAAGTAAATTATTTTTTTTGTAATAAATTTTAAAACACTTTTGTTATTTTATGCTTAAAAAAGAAAAACAGTATTATTTCTTAGTAGGCAGTATGAAGAAGATAATTGTATTGTTCAATGCTCTGAGTGTCACTTACATTATCATCAAAAATGTCATGAACCTGTTGTTTGTACAAAAGATATGAATGACCCTCGTTTAATCTGGTATTGTTCAAAGTGCACTAAACAAATTAAAAAAGAAATGGTTAGATTCATTTGATATATTCAATTTATATTTTATTTTGTTGCTGTTTACCTTCCCATAATCTTGGGTGACTGCAGTTTAAAAGGATTTTGTGTGTTAATATATATATATATATATATATATATATATATATATATATATATATATATATATATATATATATATATATATATATATATATATATATATATATATGTGTGTGTGTGTGTGTATATGTGGACAATTCCACAATGCAAAATGAAAAAGTTGTCAAATTTTATTCTTCAACTTTTAGCGAATGAATATTGATGTAGACACATTAAAGTTTATTTAAAATATACCTTTAGCACTAAAATTAATTTATTTAAGTCATTTTTATGCTTCCGAAAGTTACGGTTTTTCTCATTGTCGCATGTTAAAAAAGGAATCATTGTAAAATAGTATTATAACCATGAATTTATTTGCATAATTGGAATTAAATTAGCATGAAAATGGAGCTAACATGTTCAAATTGTTGTTGGTCAGATTTTATACTTTATAAAATATATATATTCTAAGAAAATAACGAATGAACTTTTGCAATTTTCATGTAATGTAAGTTAACAAAAACACGATAAAGTTTTGATTGTTATAAAATTTAGTTAAAAAATCCAAGTTTTTTAGTAATATATGCGAAAGAATATTAAATGTAACATTTTTGCATTTAAAGTTTTGAATAACAATGCTTAGTTAGAGCACAATTTCATTTTAAATTTGTGTAACGTAAGTTAAAACTACAAACATTTTCTTAAGTTCTGGCGCTTTTCGTTAACAAAATAAATTATGTCATTAAGTAATTATTATTTCGTTGACAAGGTTTTAACTGGAACTTTTTTATATTAGGAGAATTTAGAAAAAAATCTTTTATTTTTTTTTAATGTTAATGTTAAAATTATTTATATTATTGCTTTTTTATTTGTTTATGTATTCTTACTTTATTTGACATAAATACACATGAATAAATTAAAATAAGAATTATTTAAATATTTGTATTTAGACAATAGGAAAAAAAAAATTAATTTGCTATTCTCCTAATATAAAAAAATCTGTTAGAGCCTTATTTATCTTTGTTCTAGTAAAACAAATCGTTTGTAAATGCTATTATGAGTCAACCATAAAGCATGTCACCCTATATTTATCAATTTTTAACCCCTTCCCTCCTGTCACAAATGATCGCATATACCTGATTCCCTCTCCCTTCTAAACTATGAATAGCAGTTTTTCTTCAAAAATGTTTCAAAAGATTTAAATGTAAATATTTTGCAGCATTTTAAAAATTCAACCTAATGAAAACAAGGCAATACGCATTTTTATAGTTAAACTACTCAAATTAGTATTAAAAAGTTGTAATACTAAAATAATTTTTCAAAGTTGCTTTTGGTCTTGCGGTAAAATTGCTTTCAATTTTATAACTTTTATAAATGTTATGAAAAATCATTCAGGAAGAGTGCCACCAGTTTTTTAAAATTTCCTTTGTTAATTATTTTTAATGAATGAGTTCAATTGTTTTGTTACGTAACTTTAACTCGAAATAATAGAAGTAAAAATCCACGATAATATTTGCAAGGTAACGTAAGTGATGTAATGTAAGTTAGATACATAGTATTAAAAAAAACAGTTTTTTTTTCCTTACCCGGTCACCTATGATAAAATTTTATATATTTTTTAAATTGGCATAGAATTCCTAACATCTTGTTAAAGTTTTTAATACAAACCGCTTTATTGAATCACAAAAATCTGAGCTAAAAGTTGAAGCAATTTTTTTACCTAGTTTTCCATGTAACATAAGTTAAGTGGCATTTTTAGTAATAAGTTCACCCTTATTCACCCAGATTCAACATTTTTTAGCTTATTTTATTCATTAGACTAACAGCTTTCATACAAAATAGCTAAAAGTTTAACTTACTGTTTAAATAGGCAAAAATCTGATAAAGTTGTTGCGCGTGTAATGTAAGTTAAAAATGGAATTGCCCATATAAGGCATGCTATCGGAAAAATCTGCCCACCTTTCTTGATCAAAAAGGATGTAAGAAAGCTTAAATGTATTAAAATCAATATATTTCTAAAAAATTAAGACTGTAAAGATTACATATTAATAAGGAAAAAACAAAAAATATTAAGTTTTACAGAAAATTCTGACTTTTTTTTATGATGCCTCCCATAAGTTTCTGGACGAGTGATTTTTGTTAGTTTTAGCAGCGTAATCCCATTTTTTCTTCAAATCTGTAGCTGATTTCACTGTTTTCCCACTTAATTTCAATTTCTTTTTTATGATGGCCCAATATTTTTTAATAGGACGTAATTTAGGGCAGTTTGGAGGATTCATCTTTTTCGTAACCAACATCACTCCATTATCATCGTAAAACTTTTGAGCATCTTTTGAGTAATGTATAGTGACTAAATCAGGCCAAACCAATATTTAAATACTTCTATGAGCTTTAATTAGTCGTTTTATACGAGAAAGACGACATTTCATGTTTTCTGAAGATTTCATTGGCCCAAACAAATATGAATTGGCGATTTTTTGCCGCAAGAGCAAATTGCCTGCCAAATCATCAATTTTTTCGAAAATTTATCAGTCATTACATACTTGTATTTATCACTCACATTTCCTCTTATTTTAGAAGCATAGTAGCACTCCCCAGGAATTTGTTTAAAATCCATTTTAACATAAGTTTTGTCATCCATCAAAATGCATCCATTATGTTTTGTTAACAAGTTGTCATACAACTTTCGAGCTCGACTCTTTGCAGTTGAATTTTGTTTATCGTTGCAATTTGGCATTTTAACTACTTTAAAACTTTGATATCCAAGTCTCTGTCGCGATTTGTGTACAAAAAAATTGGAAACCTTCAGGTTTTTTGCTCTAAATCTATCAGACCAATCAGGATGATCTTCCAATGAAATCTAACTGTTCGAGAGCTCTAGGATTTGCTGTGGGTTTTTTTCGACCACTTCCTTGTTTTCTCTGAATAGTTTTCTGTTCTGTAAACCGTTTAAGAACAGTATCTACAGTTCTTCTTGATATTTTTAATGATTTCGCCAACTTTCTATTCGATTAAGTTGGATTTTTTAAGTGTTGTTCCACAATCAAAAATCTTTGATTAGTTTGCTCGGTTGACATTTTGAAACTATATAATATTTTTAATTATTTTTTTCTCCAAAAATGTTCTATTATACAAACACTATCACACACAAAAAAATAATTTCAAAAAACGCCTGTTAACTAGCTTTACCACACCGCAAATGGTGGGCAGATTTTTCCGATAGCATGCCTTATATATATATATATATATATATATATATATATATATATATATATATATATATATTTTTTTTTTTTTTTTTTTTTAATTGGTTATAAAAACACTCTGAAAAATTTTAGGTCTAAATAATAGTACTTAAAGGGTGCGACCAGCCAATTTAAAATTGATATATTTTAAAAGTTTGAGTAAAATTTAAAAAAAAAATTTTTTTAAGTTTTATGAGTTTGAATTTTTCTGCATATATTATTAATTATTACTTGCTGTTTAATAATTGTGATTAAAAGTAGAAACAAGAAGTTCAACAGATATTTAGCTGATAATAACAAATAGATAAATTGAATCCAATTTGTCTACCATTAAAAGTTCTCTTTATTGATGCATTATAAAAATGTTTGCAAAGACTCTGACAGAGAAGCATTAACTTCTACTGCTAATGATGTATTAGTGGTGTGGAAGGGAACAGGAATACCAACCTGCCTGAAATGTGATGTTGTGAAGAAATTAAATAAACTGTATATTGAATAGAAATTGTTAAAGAAAAGCAAAGGAAAAAAATCAAAGTTCTTCTTAGAGAAAGAGAATACATGAAAAGAAAAAACTGGATATGCTTTTTAATATAGCACTTGCAAAAGCAAATGATTTAATTATTGAGAAAGGTAGAGATTTTTAAAGTTAGAAGAGGAAGGTCAAAAAGAGAAAATGATGGGAGTTTATAAGAATGAAGAAAAACGTTGAATTGAAATGGCAAAGAAACAGTAAAAAATGTATATTGCATTAATCCTATTCATTAGATGAAACAGTAGTTCTTGTGAGCAGCAGCAGCTCCTACCGTAATTCACCTGCATCTACAGAAGAAGAAATAAAGTTTGAACGGGAATCAACATCGAAAAGAGGCAGAATAAAATAAAGATTAAAGATGAAAACCTGTTTTCATCATTTGGTGTTGATAAGATCAGTGACTGACCAGCCTCTTGATTCCAATAATCTTAAATCTGGGAGAAAATCTAAATAATTACAATGTGAGCTATTCATCAGTACAAATGGCAAGACAAAAATCAAGAAAGAATTTCAGTGAAAATTTGAAAGAGACTTTTTAAAACTGACAAACCATTGTTTGTTGATTAGGATGGCTAACTACTTGAAGGCATTGTTGGAAATGAGGTTCTAGATTGGTTGACAGTCCTAATATATGGCAATGGAGATGATTAATTGCTTAGAGTGCCAAAATTAGATCATGGTACAGGAAAGGAACTGCAATTGTAGTACATCAGTTGATCATTGAATGGAATCAGACAGATAATGTTAAAGGTATGTGCTTTGACACAACTTCATCAAACACCGGTTATAAAAACAGAGCTTGTATCTTACTTGAAGAATCATTTGTGGTATCTCACTGAAGAGTTAGTTGCAATTTTTGTGATGATAAAGTAAGCTTTGATACTAAAAGAAAAATGAAAGATGCTATAAAAACCTTTGGAAAAAGATCCTCCATAAAAGACAAAAATAGATATCAAACCTATTGACTGTAAGCAGCTTGAAGATATTGTAAGTAACACAAATTCTTCTTTCAAAATACTTGGTATACTTGGAATGTCTTCAACATTCTTAAGCAAACCAGTAGAAGATTAGCCTTATGATGAGTTTTATTATTTAAAAACACATAATGCAGTGAAACATGAAAGTTGTTAATGATATTGCTGAAAGAGGAGTAAAGTCAGTGACGTATCCAGAAGTTTTTTAACCTGTCTGGTTCCCCTTCATTTAGTTGTTTTTATGTTGTTGTTGTTTTTTTGTTTATTTATTTGTTTATTTATTTATTTATTTGTTTATTTAATTTATTTAGCAATTAAAAAGTTAATATCTTTGGTTTTTCCTAGAAATACAATTAACTAACCAAAATAATCAGTAATGTTATATTAACGGCTTTAACGTCAACATCAGTTTGCTACTTATTTTCCTTTATACGTTTTGTTCGCTAACTAATATAAAATATTAGATCAAAGTTTTTTCCTTACTGCTTCTCCTGCGTGAGAAGTTTTATAACTACAATTTAATCTTATCCGCGTGAATTTGAATTAAGCATTCTGATTGACATTTTTAATCAGTTTTAATATTTTTCTTTTTCTAAACAACAATTTTGTAACTATGATAACGAATTTTATTATTACAAAATAGCAACACAATAAGTAATAATTTTTATCACAAACTTGATGCTAATACAAAACTGCTTAAAGTTGAGCTTGGGCTGAATTTTAGGGGCCCATACCAATATACCGGTATCAAAATCGGCCTGGATACGTGACTGTATGTTGATTGAAGATAACAACAAATTAATTACTAATAATGAGCAACAGAAGCAATATCTATTACAAGTTGTATCTGAAGAAGCTTCAGGACAAATCTAAGAAAAATATTTTATCTTTAGCACGAAGATAAGACCCAAAGTGTAAGTTTTATAACGCATTATATTATAAAAGATCTTTTGAAAATTTCCATTGTTTTGTACCTTGTTTTTCAGCAAATAGAAAACAAGAAAATGGTTTTTATAGTGCTATTAGGAAATTTCCACTATAAAAAAGTGAAAAAATGGCGCTGCAACACCTTTCTGGTGTCAAGGAAATCTGTGAATTTCCAAAATATAATTTTACTCAAATTTTGAAATTCTACAATTTTTTGGCATCAAAGGCATCAATGATACATAAATTTTTTTTTCCCCAGTGTTTCAGTTAAGGCTTTTAGTTTGTACATTATATTTTTCATAAACATTAAAGGTACAATAAAATTAAAAGAATACACAATGGCTGATGATTGCCGAAAGGCATGAAACTCAGAGTTCCATCAAAAGTTGTTTTTATTCGTTTAATATAAATAAATAAATATTGCTCTATTATTTAATAGTATTAAGTACTCTTAAATGCACAAGAGTATTTGTATTATTATTATTGTACCATAATAATACATTATCTATTTTGTATATATAAATATATATATATATATATATATATATATATATACATATATATATATATATATATATATATATATATATATATATATATATATATATATATATATATATATATATATATATCTATATATATATTTATATATATGTATATATATATATATATATATATTAGAGTGCCTCTAAACTTTTGTTTGTGGCAGCAGACAACTTTTTTTGAAGTTGTCTGCTGCCACCCACTAAATATGTTCTACGTAATAAATTAACACTAAATTAGTTTTAAAAAATAATTTAAGGGGTTGCTCAAGACCCTTAAACATCAAACAGGTTCCTAATATTTTGAAAAAAAATGTTCTTCAAAAGTATATCATATTGGGTCTCAAAAGAAGTAAAATTTTTATAAAAATTTCAAAAATAATAATCATTTTATATAAAGGTTACTAATTTAAATTTTATGGCTTAAAAACTATCATTTTTTAACTAAAAATAAAAAGTACATATTTTCATAGTTTTTTTTTAAATAAACTTTTTTAATTTGTGTTTCCATAAATTGTTTTTATTATTTTAAAATTTTATATAAATATTATATTTTTATATATATATATATATATATATATATATATATATATATATATATATATATATATATATATATATAATATTTATATAAAATTTTAAAATAATAAAAACAATTTATGGAAACACAAATTAAAAAAGTTTATTTAAAAAAAAACTATGAAAATATGTACTTTTTATTTTTAGTTAAAAAATGATAGTTTTTAAGCCATAAAATTTAAATTAGTAATATATATATACTCTTCCTTGGTTGTCTTTAATTTTTCACATAAAATGTCAACTTTATGTTGTTGTTTTTTTAATTTTATTAAAGACTGAAAAAGGTTTTTAAAATTAAGAAAATTATTTTTTCATTATTTAATGGACTGCCTGTCTAGACCAAACCCTTGATCAATGTATCAGCACTTTGTGAGTGTTTACCTATTTGTTAGTCGATGTAGCAGCACTCTTTGCATGTTTACCCATTTTTTAGTTGATGTAGCAACACTCCTTGCAAGTTCTATCTATTTTTCAGTTGATCTATGTAAACAGTAAAAAAAATTAAAGTTAATTTTTAATCATTTTTAAGTTGTCAGTTAATACTTTCAGTAAAAGAAAACTTATATTGATTATAGGTTGCTCATCAATTTGTAGGTAAATCGTCAGCTGATAATCAAGTTTTGAATATGAAAAGTTCTAAATCTACTAATCAAAGTCAGCCATTTCGAAGACCAGTTAGCTCAACTGAATCAAAGGTATTAAAATTTAATTTGTTTTATGTTTTATTTATGTAAATAAGTTTATGTATGTTATTAATTGAAAGTGTACAAATATATTAAAATATAAGTATGCCAAATCACTGTATTTTGTATCTAAATTTCATAGCAGTTTATAATTTATTTTTTGAATAATGATAACTTTAGTAAAGATAATTTTTCTAAAGTTAGCAAACATTTATGTAACAAAAAATTAAACAAAAATTGTATAAATTTGTTTTTCATATTTTTATCTATATATTAAGTAGTAAGCAATAAAACATTCTTCTATGAAAGTTAAAAAAGTAGAAAATACTATTCTGTGTAACTTTTTTGTGCTGATATTAAATGTTTTTAATTGTGATTATTTTCTATAATAAAGTAGTAGAAAACCAAAAAAGCCTGCAATGTTTGCATATTCGTGCATGTGTTGTTTATAATTTTGTATGCATAATAGTTTATGAACAACGGCAACAACATTTTCATTTTACCTAGTGTCTGGGTAGAAATTACTAAGAATTCGCATAGCTTTATTTATATATCTATATATAAGTATATCCACTCTTGTGGTTTCTTTGACCCACCTAAATTTGGTATATGTAGTATAGTTCTTTTTTTTTTTTTTGTAACTTTAGCTATTATCTCTTCAATATTCATTTGACTCTAAATTGTTTAGATGATGGTTGTTTTCAAAAAGTATAAATATTCAATATTATGTTAGTAATCCTTTGTTTTGAAGTAAAACACCAATGTAATGTAAGGCATGAGCCTTATGGTGTGTTCTATAGGTATATTCACTATCCAAACTACTTTCAACTGTTTTTACCGTAAGTTCACCGCAGAGGTTAGGTGGTAGTCTGCAACTTCACGTTTTAAGGAATTCTCGTTGCTTTCATTAACTTGTTGTTTCAATTAGATCTGACAGGTTTGATAGCCGTTTAGGTAGAAAATCTACACCATTATTGACAAACCACTTCTTCTCTCACTTTTAAAATTTTAATGTGTTTATCATAAAGGAAGGTGGGTTGTCCAAAAAGTTTTTCCTGTTGACAGAATCTTATCGCGACCACGGAAAAACAATTTTGTGTTCATAACAGTATCGTTACAACAATGAGTTAGAGGGACATTTAAAAATGGTAATGTAGTTTTCAAATCACACTAATGTAGTATTAATAAAACTGACAAGCAAAAGATTTTTTTAAATTATCTATAACAATGCGTTTGGTAACACTAGGTTTACTTAGGTAGGTATCTTTATGTTAGTATACTTAGGTAGGTAGGTACTTCTGTTAAGCTAATAGCATCAATGGTACAATATATAATAATTTATAAATACATAATCGTTCAAATAAAAATTTAATCGTTTTCATCATACAATAATTTATTTTATTATTTCATTTAAAACTTATTCGGTTTTTCTAACTTTCTAACTAAATAGACAATTGGCTACTCAGAAACACACATCATAAACTCGTAATTCTTATTCGTCGTAAACTCGTAATTTGTATTCGTCGTAAACTCGTAATTCGTATTCGTCATAAACTTTTAATTTGTATTCGTCGTAAACTTATTTTAACCAAGTTCGAACATTAACAAGTTAATAAATTCGTATATTTTAATTACTTAATATTAAAAGCGTTAAAAATGAAAACGACGCGTTTATTTTTTTTTAAATGTCATTTTATCCTATAGTAACGATATCATAGCTATAGACTATAGACCCTTAATATTCTTTAAGATATCTCTAGCCATATATTTTGGCCGTCCCGGTTTATTAAAGAAACAATGAGAATACAGTATTTATTAAAAGTTTCCAATATATTATTAAATATTTATTGTAACAAAAAGTTAAAAAGAATTTTTTTTTTTTTTTCTTTTTAAACTGATTTGTGATGACTTTGATGTTAATATTTTTTATTGGAAACATTAGTGCTTATTAAAAGACTCCAATTTTTAAATTTTATAATAAAACATCAGTAATATTAAAAAAACGCAGCCGTGATCAATGGACGAATAACAGCGCCATTTTATGTTTTTGTGTGTTGTTTCAAAACATTTAATTGAAAACATTTATTGTAAATTATGCTAAAAAAATCTCATTTTTTATATATTAATTTTTTTTTATGAATTTTTTCTTTATAGCATCATAATTTGAAGTGAATTTTTCTTATCAAAAATTCATAAAAAATGGAACTACTTCGTTTACAAATTCCACAATCAAGTCAATCTTATGTTGATATAAATTGCTGTCTCTCAAAGTCACACAATAACCTATATAAAGAACGTTCAAAAAGGATTTTTGATGAAGATGTTACTTTAGCTACCCAGAGAAGTTTGCATCATTTTAAGTATAAATACTCTGATGAGAAAAAAAATGTTTTGCCATTTGAAGATTCTAGAGTCGATAAACCGGAATACTCTGCAAAAAAGTCTGATCTCACAAGCAAAAAAAACACTGGTTTTTACAATGAATTAGAGGTAATTGGTAAAAGTATGGCATGGAATAAAGAACGTTTAGAATTTGCAAAATTCCATAATCTTAAAGGTTTTACAAAATATCCTAACTTCGGACAATCCTTTAGTAAAATAAGCTTCTCTGATGAAAGCATTCGTCGTATACCTTTAACAATTAATGAGTATCTTAGAAACGAAGATGTGCGCTATTATGCGAACGAATTTGCTATCAAAAAGTTTTTGTTTCAACGATGGCTCGAAAATCTTCAACGGTGTGGTGGAAAATTTTATCCGATACCTTTACTTTAACTTACCACAGTGTTTTGATGACTTTAAAAAGTGATTTCCTTTTATTATTTTGTAATACATTATTTTTGATGATTTCAGTATCTTCTTTTTCGTTTTGTCATTTGTATTTCGATGATTTTTCTATAGACGTTTTATTGCTATTGTAAAAGTAAAAATGAATTGCCCGTTAAATTAAACAGTTGTTTTTGTTGAACAATTTATAAAAATTTACGAAATTATTTGAAAGAAAAAAAAATTCTATGGTAGGAAAATCCGTACGTTCTTGTATTAAAAATGATAAAAAAAACGTTTGAACAAATTAAATGAAGTAAACATTGTGAATGTTTACTTTTTTTCGACTTAAGTTTAATTACATATATTTACAATTTTGCTTCGCATACGCACCTTTTTTTTATTCCTAATAACATACATTTCAATTATGTATATATATATTAATGCATAATTGAAATGTCCATTACCTGTCACAAGAAAACATGCATTTTTAACGTGCGCGTACATAACTTGCAATATAGAAAACGAGAATAAGCAAATAGAAAATGAAAGTGAAGACATATTTGTATAATTTGCACTGTAATAAGAATTCTCGAATTTATTATTGTCAAAAGTGTAAACATTTTGAAAAGAATATACTGGATGTGTTAAAAATATTTGTACTATAGAATAATATGATGAAAAAAGCTAACTTCTTAATGCCTATTTAGAATATGAGTTTTCAGAGGGTCTGACATTTTTCATAACTCAGACAAAATTTCTTTCGAATTGTAACGAGTCTTGTTATGTTAGTAAACATTAAAATCGCCGTTTGTACCGTCGGTTTTTCCATAGTTTAAACTTTTTTTTTCTTATTATAAATTGTTTTTTCATAAAAATGGTAATACATTATTATGATGTTTAAAATAAAAATCAAATCTATAAATCGTTTTCAGCCGTTCATTATACAGGTCATTATTGAATACCTTCATCTAAATTGATGAAGGTATACAATAATGAACGATTAAGTTATAGGACAACGAATAAAATACACGATAATGAACGACTAAATATATACTATAGTAAATGTGATATACGATGGGCGTTGACACTATTCATAGCGGTGGTAAAGCTAAAATAGTTCAAAATCTTGAATAGACAAGTTTTTACATAATAGGAGGTGGGAGTTACATAATAGCAGGTGGGAGTTTTATTTTTTGCTAAAAAATTTGTTTAAATTTTTCGGTATTTAGATACAATGACGGATCCAGGAATTTTTGGTGGGATTTGCGCTTCCTTAAAAAAAATAAGGTCATTCATTTCTAAAATATTTTAGGACTTTCAGATTCTGGTGGGGGGGGGGGGAATCCTTCTCTTTTATGCTTTTTCTTTGACTATAGTCAAAAGCTGTTTTCATTGGCTGTTTTTATTGGCGCACTCTAGTCAAAATTTCACTCATTATTTCATACTTGGCTTATTTTACGTTTCAGAGTTATGCATTATTTTAAAACTGTTACATTGCTAACAAATTATTTTAGCAGGTTGCAAATCTATTGAAATATTTTGCCGTTATTCGCTTTTTATTTGAACCGAACGTATAGTTTAACAATTATAAAGTTCCAAGAGTTTTTTAAAATAATGCATAGGGTTGATGTTTATCAGATTACATAAAATGCAAGTTTAATTTAAAGCAATTCCTTTTCGTTATACGTAGCCTAAAAAAAAAAATTTATGTATTTTTGCAAGCCAGTAAAGATTTTTAAATTAAATATAAAAATAACTTTTTTGCATTAGTCACTTGTTAATCTGCTAAACCCATACTCCAAATATGTTTTCAAAAACATAATAGGAAATACATTTTAGACTTTTATATTTTTATTTTGGTATTTTTAAACTAAAAAATATATATTTTATTTATTTAATTTAATTACCTTATAATTTTTTTCTTAAGTTAATATATTTTTTAATTTTTCTGCTTTTATTACAATTGAATACAAATATATAAAATAAGAAATAATTAAAAATTAAGATTTTGTTTAAAAAAAAAGAAAAATAATAACAATTAAAAAAAGAACGCAGAAACTCAAAGAAGACCATTAGGTCTTGTAATTTTTTTCAAATTTGTAAAAACTTGATTAAGAACAAGTGCATATCTATATTGACTAACAATGAGCTAGAAAATCTGATTTTGTTATCAACCTTAGAAATGAGCCCTGATAATGAACCCTTAATAATAACCAATAATGACTCATCAATAATATTCAAGTTGAAAAACCTTATTAAATTTACGAGTCTGATTCTGTAAAATCATCAAAAATTATGAAATAAATAAAATAATATATAATATATAAAATAAATATATAAAATAAAATATATAAAATAAATATATAATATATAAAATAAATAAAAAAATCATCAAAAATTAAGCAGAAGCTATACATTAAATACCTAAAATCAAAATCAGAAAAACATAAACAAAATTATAAAACTTATAAAAACTTATTTGAAAATCTTCGGAAAAATGCAAAAAAAAAACTACTATTCAAACTTGCTTAATAAATATAAGCACAACTCAAAATGCGTCTGGCAAATCATGAAGGAGGTGTCTGGAAAACTTAAACCAAATAAAAATTTACTCCCAAATTTTATACAAATTGAAAACAAGTTAATAAATGACCCAAATGATATTGCATTTGAATTTAACAAGTTTTTCTCCACTGTTCGGACAAAATTAAGCGATAGTATTTCATTCATTAAAGATAAATCTGTTGATGAGTTCGAAACATCAATAAGTTCTAATCTAAATTTTACTGAGTTAGCTTTTAATGAATTTGAGGTTGCTTTTAAGTCATTAAAACGAAATAAAGCTACTGGGTATGATGATATTAACACAAATATTGTGATTGATTCATAGGATGTTATAAAAGATATTCTTTATTAAATCTTCAGAGCATTTCACAAGGGTCTTTTCCAGATAAACTAAAAATAGCGAAAGTAACTCCAATCTTCAAGACAGGGGATCGTACAAATATAACAAATTATCGCCCTATTTCAGTTCTTCCAATTTTTTCAAAAATTTTAGAAAGAATAATGTACAACCGAATCTACTCTTATCTTGTTGAAAATAAAATTCTATACGAAAACCAATTTGGTTTAAAAAAAAATAATTTAACCGAGCATGCTTTTCTTCAACTTACGCGCAATATAACCGACTCATTTAAAGACTCTTGTTTTACACTAGCAGTGTTTATTGATTTGTCCAAGGCATTTGATACCGTCAATCATCAAATCCTGTTAAAAAAACTAATATCATATGGTATTAAAGATAAAACCCTATTATGGTTTGAGAGTTATCTTACTAACCGTAAACAGTTTGTTTACAATAAAGATTCTATATCTCATCTATTAATGAATATAACATGTGGTGTTCCACAAGGATCCATACTTGGTACTCTTATTTTTTATATATGCATAAATAATCTTCATAAGTCATCAAATTTAACAACAATAAATTTTGCAGATGACACAAGTTTGTTTTTGTCTCATAAAGATATTAATATGCTTTTTACAAATATGACAAATCAATTAAAAAAAGTTTCTGTTTGGTTTAAACAAAATAGATTGTCTCTAAATATAGAAAAAACTAAATGGACACTTTTTTATCCACCTTTAAAATACCAGAAACTGCCCCATATCATGCCAGACCTTCTAATTGATAATATAATAATAAAAAGAGAAAAAGTTACTAAATTTCTTGAAGTATATATTGATGAAAACCTATCTTGGAGAAATCATATTGATAATGCCTCCAATAAAATTGCTAAATGCATCGGAATTCTCTATAAAGCAAGAAATATATTAAGTAAACACCAGTTAACACAATTATATTATTCATTTATACATTGTCATATAAACTAGCGAATTTTATATGGGGAAGCACTCACAGAACAAAGCTAAAATCTCTTTACCTTCATCAGAAACACGAAACTTGCGTAATAAATTTTAAAAATCAGTTTTTTCACACGAAACAACTTTTTAAAGAAATGAATATTTTAAATGTATATCAACTAAATGTCTTTAATATTTTATGTTTCATGTTTAAATGTAGAGAAAATTTGTCGCCAAATGTATTACAAAATTTTTATTGTATGAAACCTAAAAACAAATATAATTTTCAAATTAATAACAGTCTTATTGCCCCTTTTTGTCGTAAAAGCAAAGACCAGTTTTTTGTTTCTTACCGAGGTCCTTATCTCTGAAACAAAATAGTCTCACCAAATTTTGATTTTTCAACCCAACTGACTTTTGCTTCATTTAAACAGAAACTTAAAAAAATTATATTTTTAATTGAAAATATCTTGATTAATTTTTAATTGCCTTTTTTTTTGTTTTGTTTTTGTTGTTGTTTTATTTTGTATATTATTTGGTTTAAATTTTTGTCTTGTCTTTTTAACATTTTATCTTGGTTTTTAAATACTTTTGCAAACAGATGTATTATTATTTCACTACAGACATTGTATTTTTATTAAAAGTTAACCATATATTGTAAAGGGCTTCATGACAAGATCCTCATGATCTTATAGAAGTCCTGTCGTTACTAATGTAAAAAATTGTAAAATATATTTAGTTATTGTAATATTAAACGGCAAAAATAAAAAATAAAAAAAAATAAAATTCATTTATATTTAAATAAACATAACTTATGTGTAAAATATAAAACCTTTGCAGCTATATAGTTCTATGATTTTTATGTTTAAAATAGTTGAATTTTTTTGTCCGCATATTTGCCCTCTTAGTAAAAAGGTTAGACATCCCTGACCTATACTCTTTGAGAAATTTTACACAACCATATTGCACAAGTTTGCAATATGATTTTATCATATAAATTTTTTATCAATATAAACACCTAAAAATAAACTAAAACTTTGAAAAAGTGTTGGAGTTTTATTATGAAATAAAAAATAGTTAAAATCATAAGCAAACATAATTGCCGTTAAGTTAACTGCTAACTAAGCTAGCTGTGAAATAAGTTCCATATTTCACAGTTAGCTTTGGCTATATATGCATTATTGGTAAGGAAAGAGGCGTGAAAGTTATAGATAAATTTAACCAGAAAGACT